GTGGATAAAGCCATTGCTGCCGATGAAGAGTAGCGTAAGATTTAATACCGAATTAAATAATTGACAATCACAAGAGGAGATCACTTAACTTTATTGACAAAAGTATAATACCGAAATTCTTTTCATCTTTATTGACCTTAAGTTGAAGATATGACCTCGAGATTCTAGCCAAAACAGAATCCGAAATCACGAGTACGTATGTACGAATATGTTCGCACGATTTGCACTACTGAAAAAGCACAGTAGTGTACAGTATTCGTTCGTAGCTCTCGATGGGATTGTGAATATTGCTACTCATACTAATTATCCACTCACGCGATATTTTCCAATCAATAAAGTCAATAAAGAGACTGGCACTAAATTCTATAGTGTATTATACGAATTCAGTAGTTAAGCTTTGAACTCGTAGATGCAAGTTGCAATGTTGCATACACTATTAAATTATGTATTACAGGATTTATTGTCTCAGTAAAAATCACTCTCGTAAATCCTGCAGGAAATTCTGTATGGGTGCTTGCTATCCTGTTGCTGTTACTGTGAATTAGATTTTTCTTTTCTTTTTTTACCTTTATGATCAATACTACAGCATAGTACTTGTAGTTTTGTGCTGTACAGTACTGTAACCTACCATAGTGAGATAGTAATTCGTGATGGGCTAAGCATACGGTAATTTAATGAAAATGCGTTATTGATCGACCAGTTTTCTGGTTGATTACGCTGATTATGTTATCTATTATAGAATTTTATTTGATTTAAACATTACATCTACAATCAAGGCTTTACTTGAAATGAATAGATAGCAAATAGATAGTAACTCACAAATACGTGCCTGAAATAATTTCTACTTATTTTATTAACTTCGCTAACCGAATCTGTATATCTAGCCGTGCGTTAAATATATAATTTACACCAGGGTTTGAAAATACTAATTTGTACACATTATTAATTCAGAGTTAAACAGTGCTACAGAGCAAAACTATTAACTGCGCCATAAGCACCAAGAAATGAAATCATACGCGATCATACCTGTTAATCCTTGTATCCTGGCTCGCATATAAGAGATATCTTGATTGAAAAAGTTCTTCAATTGCGGTACTATTGCAGAAGATGGTGTGACAACTTGGCGGCGTACAATTGCTATTGCCATTGTCTATTCTATTTTATGTTTCAAATTTGAACAAAATGGTAACTCAAAAAGGAATGATGTAAGAAAGGCAAGTAGCAACAGTAGACTCGGAAACAATTAGCTTACAGTACAACAAGAGATTTATACTTCTGAAAGTAATATTTTTAATAAGCCTGCCTACAAGGTGTATTGCAGCTTTGTTAGATCAAATGTTATAAACAATTTTAAAAGACTTAATAACTGAACTAATTAATGAGATGCAAACGGCAAACTACCTCTTGCGGTAGTGATAGTTACCGTTCTTGATTCGTGATATAAATAGATATTTATTTATTTATTTATTTATAAATTTATTGCTGTTGTCCTACTGTTCAATGTAAGATTGTGAATTCAATCGTCCATGATTATGTGGATAATTAATTCATATGATCATGCAAAATAGGGTAATAATAATCATTATAATTACAAACTTTATTTTTTATAATTGAAAAGAAAAATGGAAATGGCTGCAGTTAGTTTTTTTTTTTTTATGAAATGATGTCACCACGATTGTCGGATATTGTATACGGTAAAGACAGACTGACGGATTTGGCAACTTTGAAAACGCACTTTGACTCCAGGGAATGGAAAGAGTGGTCTCCTCCTACAGTACATTGTACACTAGTGTACAGTACTAGACCATGAGATGTACTGTAATGAAACACTTGGACGGTGCGGTCTGGGGCGGTACGGTACTCTATCGGACCTGATCGCATACAGCACAGTATACTACCTCGAAACGTAACCACATCCTATATAGAATCAATCACCTTATAGGATTTAATATGGATAGAACGTACGGATTGTATACTACAGTCCATCTAGTTGAAACAAAGCAGCAAGCCATTCCTAGTTCTCATTCACGGCAAAAATCCACTGGAAGTTATTTAATTAAAAGATTGGTGGAGAATTGTAATTGGAAATAAAGATTCCTGATATCTAGCATCATGGTATACGATATTCATCATGTCAGATCAATGCGTAGAACCATACTACAGTAAAATGCACACGCAAGTTTGCAACAGTTTTTACAGCATGGATAAATAGATAATTATTCCTTTTTTAATTAATGGACTTGTTATCATCATCATTCTATATTTGAATCAACTTATCCGATTTCTGTTATAAGGCGACTCTTCCTCAAGGATTAGATAAAATAAAGAATCAACTTGGCTATTTAGTTGTTGATATGGACGAGAATATTTTAGCGGTGAGAAAATGAATCAATATTCTTCTTATACTCGTAGACTTCAATCATTCTATACAGTATACTTGACAGCTCATTCTCGAAGAAACCAACGCAATTTCTCTATTATCATCAAGTAATCGTAATCATACTGTATACTAGTATTAATATGTTTCCATTTTTAGTCAGTAAAGTGATCATGATTGCCTAATGGCAAAAAAAGTAGGCTCAGTCTTATAGACTGCGAATAGTCCATGGCACATTCGCTTCATTAAATAGTAAAAATACTCTTATACGGTAATTTGTTGCCAAATGAATCGCAATGAAATAGTTTTCTTTATAACAAATATCGACACAGTCATCAGGAGAACTCAATAATGACGGTAAAGCGGCATCAACAGCGGTGGACATGATTCGATTGGTGAAGAAGTATTTACAAATGTCTAATGGTGAAACCTATGATGACTTTAAGAGGATAAGCAGTACGTTGACCATGACGCCATAATCATAGTAGCTTGTTGCCATGTTAAAGAAATGTCTTTGTTAATTTAGTGATAGCTCTGAACTAATATCATTTTTCTAATGTATAACCACCACTAGTTACATCAGGCGAAATTGTACATCAAATTACTGCAAGCGATGGCAAGATTTACGTCAGCAAGCAGTCTCTGCATTGAGATTCTACCATATCCTGCATTCTATTCATCCAACAAAATAAGCCAATTGTAAACGTTGCAATAAGATGCATCTATTTCTAATGGATGAAGATCATGCAACAATAATTTTACCACTTTGAACTATGTATCTGGTTAAGACGCGTAACCTATGAAGCTAAAATTTAATGGATATACTGTAATTTACAAGTTTTCGTTCTATTCGCCGTATCCGGCCGGTATGTGGCACATACTTGTGTTTATGGAGCAAAAAGGAGTATTGATATTACCTGGGACAATGTAAATTCCCGATTAACAGTTCCTGAATACCAGTTATACTTGCAATTATACAACCTTACATACCCTTGATGTCTATTTCAAGTAATTTATTTTGTCTAGCTTTGTCTTTAAGAAATAAAGATGTAAATGTAAGAACTGTTATAATTACAGTACGTACTCGTATAGTATATGCAACGGTATATCTAAATCATTGTTCACTGTACCAATAGAATTTGTAAACCGAATTGATATTGTATAATGCATAAGATTTACTTGCATCTAGATTCATTTCCCATCTATTTGTAACAATGAATTGATATTTCTTAGTGTAAATGAAAATTTTCGGACAATCTAGTAAATGTTTAATGCACTTTGTGACCTTTGAGTTAAACTATTTTCATATCGACATTATTGACCATATCACTGACTCGAAAATTTTTTCTGAGCAGCTTCATGTCGGCAACAAATCATTAGGCTGTAATCTTAATATTCGAATTATAACATGAATTACAAATACTGTAACAACATTTTTACTGAAATAAATAGAATTATCGACCAGTATCTATGGCTGTTAACATTAATTATGCCTTTGAGAGAAATAAAACATGTAAGTTGTTAAGTATTCATAGTATTATTTCTTGTCTTTCTTTAATACATATATACTGTATATTCATCTGATGACATATTATGTAGTTACATAATATTAGCATGCCTACTTATACGAAATATCCTTCCATAGTAGACTATAACACCATTCTATAATATATTATTATGCTCGTACAGTTAGTAGTTTGATCAAGCTGCGAAGAATAGGATCCTTCTACATAGTACCTGATCATGTATATTCATTGTTAATCGGAGGATACGAAACCCGAATCACTAGAATCATGTCCCCACGAAAGATACTTGCGTATTATAGCTTTTTAAGCAAGATATCTACCTTTCCATTTGCGATCAGCATAGAAACCACCAATCGCAACCTGCAATGTACTACATCCAATAACAAATCCTAATAACGGATTTACTTTTATAGGCTGAGTAAGTAATTTCAAGATCGCACTTCGATTTGAGCTAGTAAAAAGCCACACCAATGACGGGATAACACTACCACTAACGATCGTAGTAGCAGATCCACGCACCAAAGCACAAGCAGGGCAGAATAATTGACCTTGCTCAATAGGTACATCAACCAACTTAATCCAGCACCAACGACTAACACCCCAAGTAGCAAATCCAGAGCAAAGTATTACTGCTCCTTTGACAACTGGAACGCCGCTAATATTCTTCATAACATAAACTCCGGTGTATAAAGTGCTTACAATACCATTTAAAGCTGCAATTTTATCGCCAGTATTCATTTTATCTCATCGGATTTTGGACCAAAACCATAGGAACCCAAATCTATAAAGCAGAAAAGTCTACGTATGAAACAAAGCTCAACCTACGCAACACAGTGCAATCATAGATAGCTAAAAGGAAATCAAGATAATGTAAAAGTAATACTGGCTATTTTGGGCAATATTACAAATCTACAGTAGCTTGTAAGCGTGATAGCCTTAACCAAAGCCTACTAGATACTTTACCGAAAGCGTCAAGTGGTCTATGCCTTTAACCTTCGAAACTGCTCATACGTATACATTGAACAATACTTGTAATTTGTAACTTTGCTGTATGTTAAAGTTAACTGAAGGATGGAAAAATAGAAGACAATGAATTACCACATTTTACAGACACATTCCACTATAAAATAAATAAATTAACGATACTATGCTGGTAAAGAATATCGTATAGTACCATACATTGCATGCGGCAATGACGAAAATTTACTCCATTTGCTTCTATCGTTATTTCCACCATGAGATAGAAAGGATCTTTTTATCACTACGATTGCCACAGCGAATCAGCATAATACGACTGTGTAAAACAAAATCTATAGCATTACACTATATACCAACTGTAACTACTCCATTTCTTTATCTTACTTTACAGTAATTTGGTGGTGGAGAACTGTGATAGGCTGTTATTCGTGCGCATCTTTCAACATTTCTATTCTAAGGAGTAGCGTTGGATTTCATTTTAATTTTCTGCAAATTCGTTACCTTATTACTCTTGCATTGATATAGAAAGAGTTAATACATCATCAGAGCCATCAACCATCATAGAACTAATCATCATTCGTGATGCCTTGAAAGACTATCGTTGCCTAACAGCTTTGCCAAATCATCCAGATCTACACAAGTAAATGAGCTCAAGGCTCAATGGAGTCCCAGCAATATTGCAGAGTGTCGACTATCGAGTACAGTTGAAAATGAAGTTTAGTCCAGCAGTGTTATGGCCTGCAATCACTATTAGTACGCATAGTGCATCCTGTAACAACAACTACTGTAAACTGCATTGTACAGCGTACAGACTACAGTATCGTGTACACTAGATGGCGAGCCTTTAGGCAAAATAGTACAATTTTGTCTGGTAAAACTATAGGTAAAACTACTATCCAGGACGTCCATTCGTCATCACCTACTAGTTACTATCTTCTATAGTTCTATAAATTTAACAGAAATAAAATTAGCTGCTAACTGATCTATGAGATAATTTCATGAACTCTTTCGTTAACTGCATATGTAATAAGATTGCATTAAGGCAAATGACTACCATTTCTCTATGCATGCGCGTAAAATTGATTAATTGGATACCTTCGCATGTTTATGCTATACAGTAGCTGGGTGCCATTAGACACATTCAATTGTTAGGAATAAGATCATCCTATTTATTTAATCCTTGATTCTATATATTTTTATATATCATTCAACAAATTATGTCACACTATTAACACTCACACCATATTGCACAGTACGTAGATTCGAAACCTGAATTTAAAATAGCTGATACTCATGGAATCCTTGCTTATAATATTAAGCAATAAACTGTGGTGTATAAGTTAGTTTTGATTTAACTTTAACATGTACTGTATACTCGTATATGCGTAAAACACAGTTACTTCAGAGACAGTATATTTCAAATTATTATACGCCAACAATCAATAAATTTTACAAAGCTCTCCTTTATGCTTAGATTGATTTATAAATGTTTATGATCTTAATTAAATAATGGTCTCCAATGAGCTATTACTGATACATTATATAGTAAACAAAGTAAAATGAACAGCACCTTCGATTGATTAATGATCAACGAGGCAATCATAAACGAATTCGACCAAAACATTCCTTTATAAAATAGTCCAAAGTTCATATTATTATTTCTAGTATGAGTGCAATTACAGAATCCATGAAACTTTGTAGCGAAACACCACTATTAAATATACGGTCATATATCATGTAAGAAAGGAAGGATTTACAGAAAGTATATACTTCGATTAGAGGCGTGCTTACTACTTCAATATAAATGCAGTGCATAAGAATCCTCAAGTTTAACACCTGGTAGTCATGTTTACGCAAATAATATTACTATAAAAGTGTAACTGTAATAAATCCGAACGTAGAACAGTATAACTTTGAATGATAAAACGTCAATAAAATCCAAGTTAATGCTCATTAAGGTCAAAAATATTAATTAAAATCAGATAATGATTAGCATTAAATAGTTAACCATCATAATAAAACTAGAACTTGGGAGCTATCTGCACGACTAATACATGTCAACAATTATACTGTGGGTTCCGAAGTATGCGGAAATGATTAAAGTTTACATTATCAAAGACAGTGTTGTATTATATCTCTCACAAACTTGAGTTTTAGATTGCGTAAAATTTGAATGTACCGTACGATAGAACATTAAATAACGCCACCGTAGGATTGTAGTTAATAACTTATTGACATTCTATAATAATAAGGGCAATGTCATACTTCTTAAGCTTAAAATACGTATAATAATAAACATTAAAGATCTTACTTTTATGTAAATTGCACGTACCCTGCTACGTACAACTAACAATCGACACAGAGCATCTTTGTGTGAAATACCAATTTAAATTTATATTGATATTATTTCACTAAACATGATAGTACTCTGAGAATGATATAAATATACAATTATACATGTACCTATAAAATATATCACGCCATTATAGCTTCAAACTGTAAAAAGCCATACTATATCGCATAAAAATATAAACAAATATGTATCTTTCTCAAGCTCTCATTTATATAAGATCAATATAGCTCTAGAATAAGTTTCTAAATATAGATAGTTTTATACATCACCAATGAAAATAAATACTCAAATCTATCGTATGCAAAGTAAGCAATAACCTAATCCCATTTTGCACCCGACACTCGTTTATGGAACTTTAAATAACGTAGATTTTCTCTTCATAATGGAAGAAAATCTCCTTTTAAACGAAGATACAAGGCGATATTGTAATCAAACCTTGTTCTCGTTAGGATTAAATAAAATATCATCCCTTGCTCTAGAATCATTACATAAGTAAATCATACTATATGTAAATCTCAAGACTGCAATGAAATCGTCACGTGATGTTCCATGCCGATGAATAATACATCATAAGTGAGTAATATCGGTAAGAACATATTTATGGTAGCAAGACAATGACAAGTCAATAAAATATTTCGCAACTGGATGAATTAAATCAAAAGTACAGCCTCGTCAACGTAACTTCAGAAAGCCATGCCCAGATGTAAATATTGTAGAAAAGTTTAACGCAGCGTGTGGTACGTTCAACAAGAATCTTACCCTGCATTAAGTAGCAAAACGCCAAATTAAATGCAAACAACGGAGATTCTATAATTGACACTAGAACGGACATAATAATTGAAGGAAATATATAAGTATTTTCTGATTAGTTATTTATCTTTACGTACTGATAGAAAATGAAAATCTGATTATTGTTATGTCATAATAATGGGTACAGTACTAGCTATTTCAAAAATGAATAGCTTCCATGTTTTAATTCCATATCAATATAAATAGATCGATATAACAAGATATGGTGCATAGAACGGTCTAGACATACCCCCAAATTAGCAATGCGCATAGGGATTATCATATTATCCTAGAATAAAGTGCCTACCTTAATCTATTGACAGCTAGTACGGCCTCCTGTCATAACAGATAATAACCACACACAAATATATATCTATATATATATATATATTATAATATGTACTCATTATAGATGAGCTCAATATTATATGATGAAAATAACATAACATAACAACACAGTGATAGATCATTTATTGTCTATCATCCAGTGTCTAATATTCTAGACGTGAAGTCCTGACGTTAATAAATATAATAAACATCAATACCCCCAACTGAGCATTCCTTGAATTGTATCTATAGTAACTTGTACTATAGACTCTAGCCATTTCAGTCATCATGGGGAAAGCGGTCCTACTGTCAATACATTTTCCCAGTGATATTAGTTACTGTAGTTGTATTTAAGAACACGTTAGGGCGGAATCAATTTTGATTTTATTACTTTACAGCAGGGAATACGGACAGTTCGTAAGAAATCGATTTTATCAATCTTCTTCGAAAATGCAGCCAATCAAGATGGATAGATTGTCTGAATGCCGTCAAAGCATACGGACTACAATCGATGATGAAGAAATTTTAATGTGAGTTAAATATATGACATGTAACAAGAGTTAAAAAGATAGCAAAGTAAATTTTTTATTGCTATACCTGTAACTGAATAGAAACGAATGATAGACCAAGTTTACGTTTTGAATAATTAATTTATTCTAGAAAACTATCAGTATAACAAATGTTTTAACGATAATCTTGTTATCGAAGGGGTAATTGTAACATTTTGATTTCCTTCATTAAAATCCGTAACTAATTAAGGTCATGAAAAGATGTAATAGTGCTGAGCTATTAAAACATCTAAACAATTACATAGCATTCTTGGCTATATCTATCAACAGTAAGATTAACTAAAGATCATAGTACAACTTCTACACTTCTAGCTATCAAAGCCTATTAACTAACTTAATATAAACATGGCAATGTTCATAATCGGATAATGCTTATAAACTAATCTAGGATTTGCGCATCTAATGATTTAGATAATAGTTTCCTTTGGAGATGTTGTTTTTATGTAATTTATTTACGTCCTACGATAGAATCTGACCTATTTGAGATAAGTATAATACTATAATTTCAACTATTATGTTACTGATGTGAAAACTGAGCAAAATGTATCAGAGTATCAAATTTAGCTCTTTGAAATAAATCATAGTAAGATTCTGCTCTATTTTTTACTCATCTATCGGCAAGTAAATCGGAAGGCAAAATAATTTACTCGTATATTAACTCAATAGGAAATGAATATCATTCCTAATATCATAAGCAAAGGTCTTTGTTTAGCACATTTTAACTTCCTACTTGTAACAAAATTTATGACTAAGCAGGAGACTCGTGTCGACAGTCATAATTACGCGGTAACAGAAGATTTGTGGACAGTATTATATCATTCACTATTACTCTGCTGACCGAGTGATTCTATTCTTTTAAATAGTATTGATTGAATTTCATCAACAAGACAATGCAGAATTGGTATATCCACAAATATTTTTATTAAATCCATTATGCCGCATTTTATACTGTGTAATAGAATCAGCTCGCGTTAGGTGAGAAACAACTGAAAGTCTATCCATGACTCATCGGAAAAACCTAAACAATGAAACTTAATGGCTAAATTTTACTCATCTACCTTTATATTCTAATATGGTTTGCTTTTAAACCTATTTTTATCATCTATCTAGTAACGCATAAGATCCTATCCTTGCGCAATTATGAAAAGCCTCTTTCTAACTAATTTGCTTTTACTGTATCATGTATTAACATTACTATCCCATTATCCAATCTTAGTTCAGTAAGCGACAGCAATACATCAGTTGCACAAACAAAAGGATATAAGAATATTGTTTAGGAATATAAATATTGTTTTATTGCTACATAAAATGTCTGATTTAACAAACACTTAAAGAATACGAAGCCGGTAAGCGTAAAGAGTTTTTTATAGGCAGTCAAGGATTAATTCTACTTTAGATATACAAAAGCTTTCGTATTAAGACGGTAAAAGAAAAATTACCAAATCTTACAGCCAAGCAACAAGTGCTTAACTAGAGCAAACTTGTACAGTTTGATACATTCATTTAAAAAATTGCAACCATTTAACTGACCCTACAATGTATGATATTGCACGTATAAAATAATACAAGTTATGGCCCTGGCTATAAAATGCTTTCTAAGCAATGTCACTATTTTCTGATTGGCACTTATACTATAGTGATCGCCATTATTTACAAACTTAAAATTTGTACTCGGATAGCTATAGTGTATGTGTCTTTTACTTAGTAAATTCCTGCTGGCATCTGAAACATTACAAGCTATAAAACTAGCTGATTTCCCTATATGACAAAATGACTAATCATTTTTTAATTTCCAGATAGCGCAGATCCTGATCTAATTTCATAAATAATAATCAATAGTAAACTAATGCTTATGCTTATATTTAAAATGTATTTCTCTCAGTGCAGTAATTACTATTTCGATGCGTTATAATTATTTTCTAATGTATAGTAAACATTTAATCAAAAAGTGAATAATAAAAAGTTTATTAATTATTGTCCCACAGCACCATCTCATCAATTTTATGTCTAATTAATATTTTGGTTTGAATTATTTTACTCTGCTTTGCTCATTAAATGTTGTGAAAAGTTTACCTGTTTTATTGTCAAAGTATTCATTTCTCTCTATTGATTACTACATTTATTTAGAACCCGAGTAGCTCCGTACGCCAGGGCTAATTTTTGGCAGTTATTAACTTTATCATGGATGACCCCTCTGGTATGGCTGGGCTACAAACGACCTATAGAAATGGAAGATTTAGGACACTTACCAGCTGTTGATTCCTTTGATGCCAATATTAACCAATTCCAGATATTATGGGATAAAGAGGTAGCAGCACATGGAATCGAAAAGGCTTCTTTGGGTCGAGTTTTATTTCTTCTTGTGCGGAAAAAATTGCTAAAAACATTTTTGATTTACTGTCTTGTTCTTACCTGCACAGTTTTGGGACCAGTAAGTATTTTAATCAAGATTTTACTAAATAGTTATCTTCATATTTGATGATTTGCTGATTTACTTTCAGCTACAATCCACTTCATAAAATTTTATTAGATTCATAGAGAAAGGTGTCGATAAATTGATTCTTTGACATGCAGTCTACTATAATCGAGATTGATTAAATTAAGCGAGAATGTCAAATTTAAACACATACTACATCTAATACGAGTAAGAGCAATAGATATGCTGCATACTCATAAGCTTATAAATACAAATACACCTAAGTGATTAACTGACAAAATGGGTTATCAATTGAGCAACGTCTTCTTTACCTCTAATCAACATCTTACCTACTCATAAATTGTAGTAGTAGCAACGCTTTGCGATAGATAGTTAACTATTCATTTGTACTTCAGAGAAAACAGCTGCATTCAAATAATCCTTTTAATTCGTAATTGTGATTTAGCATTCGCATCTTAACGAGAAATCTGTTCAATTTTATTGACCATCATATTATTAAGGTTATTATTCATCGCCTAATTCAATATACCGAAGGCCAAAACAAAGATGTAGTGGTGGGATCGATATTGGTACGATAGTCTATAGCTTTACTATTACATGTAGTATTTATTTATCTGTCATGATCTAATAGCAATATGACGTATAGCAATTTTGTGGAATCAATTTTAGCTATTACAGTAGTTATCAACTTTACCTAACTTCGCGGTAATAATTATATTTCATTACTAATTCCAGGTAGTATGCATTTTCATCAATGAATCCATTAAGAGCTTAACTTTTGCTTTTACGTGGTATTTATCCGTTCGGGCAGGAGTACAAATTAGGTCGATGGCTTTGGCTTTAATATATAACAAGCTACTAAAGTTAAAGTATACTAGCAAGAGTTCAATAGGCGAAGTAGGAAATAAATTTCTGTGCACGTAGTCATAGCCGGATTTATATCAGTACATTATAATTAACCGTTTTGCTCCCCTTCTCTTATGTTAACCACCTTTTTATAACTACTTAGCTCACTAACCTTTATGCCAACGATGCACAAAGAATGTTTGAAGCCGTTTTATATTTTGCTTTTATATCAGGTAGGGAGATAAACCTAATATTGCTGCCAATAAACTACCATTAGCATAATTGGATAAATTGAATCGTCTCATTTACGGATAATAAATGTAAAGAAATATGATAATATTTCTTGATTTAATAGGTGCACCAATTATACCACTATGCGCACTAATTTATTTAACAAGCATTGTCGGCCCAGCTGCTATTGTTGGCTGTGTAACCTTTGTGTTATTCTATCCAATTCTGGTAATGTTTAGCTACTGTTGACCGATAAAACAATTTCCTATATTATCTATTGTATTTAGAAGCTATCGTTACAGTCTTTAAGTATTAGCTATGATGTAACTATTATTTTATATTTATTTTATTAGATTGGAGTAGCTCGGTATATAAGTAAACTAAGGCGATCTACAATCGGTGTAACGGATAAAAGGGTATCAGCAATCTGTTCAGATTTTAATGTCATAAATATCCATTTATAGTACTGTGCATGTAAATCAAAGAAAGAGAGAAAGCAGACTTAACCTGTTATTTAAAAAATTTTTAAACATAAAATATTTCAGTATCGGTACCTCCTAACTTGACTTTAAAACTAATATTTACATCAGATTCGGTTAATGAACGAGATTTTGACCAATATCAAACTAATCAAGATGAATGTCTGGGAATCTCTATTAATCCAAAGGGTAAAAGGTATATGCATAAGTAAATACTTTTAAGCATGCTCCTAGCAATGTTTTTAACATACTTAATGTTATCAGTAATACAATGCGGAATTAGTCCAAAACCTTTTCTGAACAAACTTTATGCTTTAATCCTAGAAATTTAAGTTCGGTTAAGAATTTAAAAATGTGTTTTAAATGATTATTTTCTAATATCATGTAGAAGTTAGACAAACAGAAACTGAGAGACTGTCCAAAGCGGCACTAACTCAAAGTCTGAGTATATCAGCAATGCCAATAGTACCGGTCATCGCTAGTATTATCACTATTATAACTGCTTTTGGTCTTGGAACAGGCTTAAAATCATCGCAGGTATGACATAGCATACCGCTATGAATTGGAAATTACCTCTACTATATATATATACATCTTCTACTTTCAATTAATATCTGCAATCTATTGTTCGTTTAAAATCAAAGTCATTAGATAGGATTATAATAAACTACACATAAGTTATAATATTATCTCTTTCATATTGCATACTGTACTTAAATTAACAATTTTTCCTGACTAATGCTTTTATATAAAATACTGTAATATTGGGTTCTTATTTTAAATAATTTAAATAGGCATTTGCAGTAGTCTCTATGTTTAACGCAATGCGATTTACAATGACGACTCTACCGACTGGAATGAAAGCGGTTGCTGAAGCAAATATTGCACTAGGTCGAATCAAGGTTATAACTAGCGATGCTTGTTTGATTTCTGTTTAGAGGCAAAGACAAGATTAGAATAATCATCTTGTGTTGACTTAAAATATTGTTAGAATCTACTAGTATTGAACGAGTACGAGAAATGCATAGAAAGATCAGGTGATGATGACACTGCAATACATATTACAGATGGAACATTTGCATGGACTAAGGTAATATTAGGCTTTCCTTTTGGTCTGATATGGTTTTGGTTCATTAATGGAATAAATCATTAGTTTAATTATGACACTATTTGAACTTATTGGTCCATACATATATTAATAGACAGAATCTGATAAAAAAGGCAGGCGACGATCTTCAGTCTGGGGAAGACCTGTAACAGGTAACCTTCTCGCGTTGAACTTTTCCGAAAGAATTTTAATTAATTTTAAACAAATTGTGACAAAATCTTGTATTACGTCTTTACAGTGCATGATGCAAAAAGACTACCAGTCCTATTCGATATTAATTTAGCAATCAAAAAGGTTAGAACAAGGTCTCAATATTGTGATTATACTAACTATTGTAATTTGCAAATAATAAATATATAATTTATCACTAAAAATTGTTATCGATCTAATGATAAATTTGATTCTATAGAATATAATTACCGGTATATGTGGCCATACAGGATCAGGAAAATCTTCCTTGATTGCAGCAATCTTAGGAGAGGTTAAATTCAGAAATTTAAATGGCTATATAGTATATGAAATCTAGATTAATTCGTACATCATTTTTGTAGATGCATGTTTGCTCTGGTGAATCTCATGTTACAGGCACAATTGGTTACGTTCCGCAACAGGTTCCATTAATTTTAATATATGCATAACTTTAGCACACTATATAAATGTAATTGTTATAGATTTGAGATAACATCTATCGAGGTGAAATATCATCGATAGTAAATCTTATAGTGGCAATTGCTTATATACATTTTACAGCCTTGGGTAATGAACGCCACAATAAAGGATAATATACTCTTTGGAGTACCTTTAGACGAGCAAAGGTATAGTATTAATCATCTAAAATTTATATTGTGGTATTTTGTATTTGTTTTTTAATTTAATTAGATAGAAGAAATGGTACATTATAGCTTACAGAATAGAATCTAAACATTGACTGTGATATCGCCGGTAAAATAAATCGCTAGCATTTACAGTATTAAATTTTGGGGATTTATTACGCTAGGTATGATCAAGTTCTATCTGATTGTTCCCTAGTCGACGATTTGCGCCTTTTACCTGAAGGAGATGAAACAATAGTAAGTTGGACGCCTTTTATTTAGTTTAGTTTTATATATTCATTAATCTCGATTGATGATAAGTTGAGAATTCGACATCTATGAAAGTTAGGAGATCGTGGTGTCAATCTAAGTGGCGGACAAAGGCAAAGAATTAGTTTAGCTAGGGCACTCTATGCTGATAAAGATATTTATTTGCTAGATGATCCACTGAGTGGTGTAGACTTAGATGTAGGCAATCATATTTTTGCAAGTTGCATTCAGCGATCGATGGCTGGCAAAACCGTCGTCTTAGTATCACACCAAATGCAGGTATTGAAGAATTCATTCTTATAATCAATTAATTGTAATAACCAATTTAATATTTAGATTCAATAATTGTATTTATTATACATGAACTGTCCATAGAGGTAAAGTACAATCATCCAAAATCTAGAATAAGACCTATACGTGTATAAAATGATGGACAAAAATACTGCCATCATCAGGATTTTTTTATACCAGGATATAGCTAGTTTGAGAGAATTTAAAAAATTATTTTTATTGCCAGTACATAAAGCAATGCGATCATATCTTAGTAATGGAAAATGGAATGATAGTTGAACAAGGAAAGGATTCCAATTTATTGGAAAAGCGAGGAGTAAGTTACTTGCGATTAGCCGTTTGCCTCATGTTAATCATTAAGATCGATCTTTAACTACTTACAGGCTTACTACGACATGTTAACGCTGTTTGGGACTGATATAGATAAAATAGAGAGGACTGATGAAGTAATTGCTACCAAAAAGCCAAGCTATCTAGAAACTGAAAGATTATCATTTAATACAGGACAGACTTTGCGAGCTAATCAAAAGAGAGGTAAAACATAGAGATACGATGAATCAATAAATTCGTTTGGTTATTAAGCAAAAATTTTATAATCGTTTACCGGTAAAATTAAGAAAGATACCTAATTACTTTTGCTACACTTTTAGGACGGACTTTTACTGTCGAATCGAGGTTAAAAGGTCATGTTAGTGCGGCCAGCTATAGAATGTATATTAAGTGCGCTGGAGGTAATGTATGATGTATATATATATATTAGAATAATCTCATAAATTTACTGCAATCAACACATGCTAATATAAAACCTGTGTTTGTCCTGAGCATAAATGTACTTTTAGATATTATTGGTATAATAACTTATTCTATTTCTATTGCTTACTTCAGGTTATTTTAAAAGCTTTATCGTCATTATGATGTTTGCCCTATCAATAGGAGCCAAAGTATTTAACGATTATTGGCTTTCTGAGTGGATTCGATCTGGATTTACAGTATGCATAACCTTTTTCAATAAAATGATTTAGCAATTGATGACAGTCATAACTGTTATGTCTTATATTTCATGAATAATTTCTATAATGTATAGGTGAATAATACCCTGCAAGAATCAGATAATGAGTTTTCCAATGGTACATCCACAATTACCTTTCAGCAACCTCTTATGTATCTCCTTGTTTACTGCAGCGCTGCGGTCTTTATGATTATTCTACTCTGTTTCAAAGGATTGACATTTACAAAAGTAACGCACACTTAAAGTATTTACACTAGGATCGAATGCATTAAGTGACAATTTAGTCAATTTTCGATTGTATCTTACTAATAGGCTACACTACGGGCTTCGACAAGGATTCATAATCAAGTTCTAGAAGCGGTAAATAAGACTTATAGTACTCGTACGTCATAACAATTGCCAGTTCGGTCTAGAATATTTATTAACAATAAGCGTCTACTTTTTCTTGGCTAATACCCCGATATCGAAATAAAATATTCATTTATTTTTGATGTATAAACTCTTATGCATCTTTGATATCTGTAGATTATGCAATCTTCAATGACATTTTTCACAAGTACACCTGGTGGTCGAATCCTGAATAGATTTTCTAGAGATATGGACGATGGTATGATATAACTTCTGTAAAGAAGCCTAAGACATAACGGAATTTGTTATACTATGTTTAAAACTTTCTATATCTGGATAATGCTGTCATTCTTTCACTAGTGTTCAATATTATTCGATAGGTTATTTTTATATATATATTATTTATTCACTTACAGTTGACATTCGCTTACCAATGTTCACTGAATTGATACTGCAAAATATATTCCTGATCATCTTCTCCCTTGGCGTCATTATTTCTATCTTTCCATGGTTTCTCTTGGCATTAATACCACTCGTAGTTATATTCATCATTATTAATGTGATTTTTAAAGGCAGCCTACGAGAGGTAAAACGATTGGATAATAGAAGCCGGTCACCAGTCATTTCTCACCTCTCAGCAACTATAGCGGGTAAACATAGAATATTATTAATTTTACTATCGTAAAATAATTAGTGAATATATATCCATACTGATTTAAAGATGGCCCTTTTAATATATCAAGGTATAACGACTATTCACGCTTTCGATAAGACAGAAAACTTCTTAGACAGGTAAAAAGAATACAGTTAAGGTTTAGCTTATGAAATCGTCATTATTAATTTCAGTTAAGATTTTAGCCACACTAATCATATTCAACTTTTTGCTTTGCTTTAATTGAAGATTTCGTAAATTAGTCGATAAAAATTCGACAACTTTTGTGACTTTTCATTGCTTACATCGATGGTTAGCCGTCAGATTAGACTTTGTGGTTACAACTTTCGTCACCATTACGGCTATTTTCGTTGTAGCTCAGCCAAATGATGCTACGCGTGCTGGATTAGCATTATCGTATGCCTTTCAAGTAAGTAAAATGAGACAGTATTTGCACTGAGACATTAATCGCTCAATAAAGTAATAATTTCACTGTAATATTATTCGTTTATAATCTGTCCTAGTTTTATCATAGGAATTTAAGAATGGAAAAAAGCATGACTATCATTTTAATAAATAAAGCAAACAGTTCAATATAGTGATTTAAGTGTAGAATTGTAAAGTGTTTTAGAGTTAATATACTATACTTTGTAAAAATGACATGGGCTCGTAAATTGTTTCCGATAGCCAAAAGTAAAGTTTAGCCTGTATGGCATGGTTATTATGAATTGCGATGTAATTCCTAATAAATGTTAAATTAAAATTAAAATTAGCTAGTAGCACAAAATAATTAGATCATATAAATTTCAGGTAGCAAGCTTGGCGCAACTAAAGTTTTTAATGCAATTCCTGCTAATTTTTATGTACCCTTTTGCACTTTCAGTTGACCGGAATGTTTCAATATACTGTTCGCAATGCAGCAGAAGCAGAAGCTAGATTTACTTCGGTTGAGCGCCTTCGCGATTATGTTGTGGTAAAAATGTATTTTCAATGTAAAACAGCTAATCGATATTATTATGCTTGAATAATGCCATTTTATTATAACATTGCATTTTTTAAATCTAAATCCCGTATGCATAACTGAAAAGATTAAATTCATTATTGACTAAAACCGTTTTCTCCGGTAGAATACTGAAAACGAAGGAAAACGACATACGAAATTAATTCAACTTCCAAAGAAATGGCCATTTGAGGGCCAGGTTACATTTCATCAGGTTCAGGTAAGTTATGCGGTAATAAAATAAATTAAAGTTTAACTCTGTATTCTTTAATCAATAGTAACTACTGTGAAATAAAGATTAATGATTTTGATATTGATAATAAAATTACATTATTTACATGATTCTAAAGATGCGATATCATCCGGATTTGCCGCTAGTTCTTCACGATATGGATTTCCATATCCGAGCGGGCGAGAAAGTAGGCATCATTGGTCGCACAGGAAGTGGTAAGACTAAAATCATAGAAAGATATTCTATGTTCGCATAAGCAATATATCGTTACAGCAAAAAGCTATCCAGAATTTATGTTATTATTATCAGATTTTTTCCAATGTATTGTGGTACCTTGACTTATAGGCAAATCATCGATTGGCGCTTGTATGTACCGACTAGTCGAAGTAGAAAGTGGAAAAATTATCGTAGACGGCGTCAATATTTCTATGTTAGGTATTGAAAGACGACCGTACTGCCTTTCTCTCTATTATTTTATTGTAAAATCTTGACCATGGTAGATTTATTCATTAGGTTTAGATGACCTTCGCTCAAACTTGTGTATTATACCTCAAGATCCACTTTTATTTTCTGGCACACTAAGGTAATTTAAATGACAATGATAATTTAGAAATCTCTTAGGATCGCGAGTTCCTAATTTTATAATAAAAAATAATGTTGATTATTTACTACTTCCGCTCGTTTATGCTTAGAAAGAACCTCGATCCTTTCGATGAACATAGCGATGAAGAAGTTTGGGATGTTTTAGAAAAAGTGAATTTAAAAACCAAAGTATGAAACTGTTTTCTTTCTGTATTTCATCAGACGAGATGAGTATACGGACTGTACCTTTATCGGTCTGTTAAATATATCTACAAATTGGATCCTGATAATACAGATCACAGTGAGATTTAGCGAGTGTCGATTAATATATAGCTTAATTACATAATTAATTTACCATTATTTGATGTCGGAAGTAGGACTGAAATAAAAATCTGGGGTAGTTTTAATTCAAATTTATCTGTTTCTTACTATTATTTTATTGTCAAAACATTTTTAGTTTGAGAGGTTAACACATCGATTGTATACTGCAATTAAAGAAAATGGTAATAACTTTTCAGTTGGAGAAAGACAGCTGCTGTGCTTAGCGAGGACGCTGCTTAGACGCGGCAAGGTACTGGACCATTACCTCTATATTCTAAAATGTCTAATAGTATAGCTATATCTGCAATGTTAATCTGATGGTAAATTATGTTCTCTTATTGGAAGATTGTAATTCTGGATGAAGCTACGGCTTCTATGGATAGTGAAACTGATAAATTAATCCAAGATACGATAAAGAACGAATTTCTTGATAGTACTTTGTTAATTGTTGCTCATCGATTGCAAACAGTTATGGCATGCGATCGTATTTTAATCGTTCACGAAGGGAGGGTGTGTATATTACATTGATTAAAGTATAAATTATTAAACATAAATAAATCAATAGCAATATGAGTATTGTATATAGAAAATTCATTGCATTAATTGTCAATTGATTAAACTATATTTTTCTTAACATTTCCGATTATCAAGGCGGTTGAATTTGATGAGCCACAAAAGCTAATAGAAAATTCACAATTAAAATTGAATGAAATAATCGATAACCAAGAGACAGCCCCGATATTAAATGGCAATTTAGCAATGCAAACGATCCCGGTTCCTAACCATAATGCTAATCATCCTGAAGCTTGAATAAGGATAATTTTTATATGTGAAAATAAGTCATTTATTGGAAATTTCTGAAAGGAAATCGATAATAGGTGTTAAAAAGAATTACTGTATCATACTCTCTGATGCGAAATAGAACATATTGTATTAATACATGGATATGTCCTAATATTATTGTAGTAAGGAAATATAACTGTACGTGTGATTATGTTATTTATTAATGCGTGTGCTGCAGTAATAAGTATGACATCGAAGTTGAGAACGAACATACAGTAGCTGCGGCACTTTATAGTATCTTCTATCTGTCTTATTGTCGTAAAAGAGCATTCATTTATCTATAAGAATTCGCAAAACAATGCTACAGTGTTCTATACATGTATATTGTGGTCTCAGAACTTCTTTAATCATCGTATAATATTAATTATTTATAAACTAACTGAATTGCATATTTATTTCATATGGGAACTTAGAGTCATTTCCTGTTTCGTAGATCATGAAAATATAGACTTTTAATTACTATAAGATTAGTTCAATCGTAAACGACGTAAAAATATTATTGTGTTCAATCTTCTGCATTCGTACTTGCAAATGATCATATCCTTTTGATGTATACCAATAAATTTTCTCAAAAATTTCTAAGTAGAGGTTTGGTAATATAATTGATTACTTATTAGTACTTTTCAAATTCTGAATTGAGCTTGCTTCTACTAAGAAATTACTAATTTTTTCTCAATCAAAAATAATTGGTATATATTGTGGGTTTTGATGAAACATCTATTTGGGAAGTTCAGTAGCTTTTTCTGGTTTCAGAATTCTATTCTAAGCAATGATAGACTATAGTTCATTTTTGAGGGCCGCGAAGTTAGCAAGCTGACTAAAAAGATTACATCATACGGTATAATGCCTAAAGTACACAATTGTAACAAGTTTTTAAGATCTTATTTATGGTAAAGTATAGATTATATGTAATGTACAATTGTACATATGATGCCTGTAGCAGTCTGTTGAGTATTTTCGATGCAGTAGGAATGAATTTCAATTATTTTACTTTGTGTAAATTGTTCCTACCAGCCAGTGGCATGTTTGCCAAAAAAAGATTTTGTTATGGGATGAAAAAATGTAGTTGATATAGCTCATTGCTGAAATCGGTATTTCTGATTCTACGTCTTCTTGTAGGTTTTAACACTATTAGATATAAGGAAAACACATTTTTGTAAATATTAAGTATTATTATTTATATACATGGACGTAAGCTGCTTTAAATATTTAAATCAATCCACATCATAGTTTACGAAATAGGACGGAAAGTGAATTGACACTGGTATTCATTTTAGTTAGAAAAATATAGTAAAGATATTTTACTATGTTAATTAATAGCAATATAGTTCTGTATACGTTTGGTGTACGTATATATTGTGGTCAAAACTCGAATTTAGTCAATCCTAGGATTGACTAGAAAGGCCTAGAATTGACCAAATATCAATATTGTCTTCGAAAATATTGGAGTCTGAGCTGCGTATGACAGTGATAATTCAATTTTCCTGCCTATAATAAAAGATCACTTTTTCCCTTAAGTAGCAGAAAAATAACTTAAACTAGTGGAGTGTAGACCATAAAATATTCATGAAATTTAATAATTACAATCCTTCTGTATGTTCACATTTCTGCACCAGTTAGATGTCTTCTTTCAATACCAATATTCACTTTTAAATCAATACAAATTATTAAAAAATCTGAATCTTCGAACTGGATTTAGATCAATTTGCTTTCTATAAATAATATACGAGTCAAAGGAAGAGAAGTTGCACAAAATACCGTAATTTTAATATACAAGAAGTGTGTTATCCATGCAGTTCCTAACATGGGATCTTAATGTAATCATTTTCTACTGGTGATCCCTGACTGTAGAGTTTTAATGGATTGAATGGTTAATAATATTCTGGTAATTCAGTATTCTAGCATATTTTTTGCCAACATTCGCCTCTGTGCTAAAAAAAGTATCAATACATTGCATATTTTCTTCAGCATAGTACCAAATTAAAGATTATAGAGATTTTATTGTCCTGATCTCTTATAATTTAGCACTACAGCATCTTCGTTGACCAAAGTTCGTATTTGTACTAATGAAAAGTATCGATAGATCCTATTATTTCTTCGACATTAAAGCGTATAAAAGACTTCAAAAATTGATTACCGTCATAGAAACTTTATTGCATTAATCTCTTATAATTTAGCACTACAGCATCTTCTTTGCCCAAAGTTCTTCTGCATGCTAAGAAAAGTATGGATACATTTTTGTGTAATTTCTTTGACTTGAATCATAAAAGAGATTTAAGAAATTTTTATTACTGTCATAGAGATTCTATTGCTTTAATCTCTTATAATTTAGCACTACAGAATCTTCGTTGTCCGAAATTCTTCTCTATGCTACAGAAAAGTCTCGATATATTGCATAAGTTCTTCAACTACAGTATGTACTATAATTAAAGATTTTAGAGATTTTATTACTCTTATTGAGATCTTATCGCGGTAATTTCTTATAATTTCATACTACAACATCTTCATTGCCCAAAGTTCATCTGTGTGCTAAAGAAAAGTATCGATAGATCGTATGATGTCTTCGAGTTTGTATCATATAGAAAACTTTCGAAATTGATCAGTATCATAGAGATTTCATTGCTTTAATCTCTTCTAATTGTAATTTAGCAATGCAGCACTTTTTTGCCCAAAGTTCGTCTCTGAAAGATTTCAGAAATTCATTACCGTCAGAGAGTTTATTGCATTATATTAGTCTACTTATTTACGATAAAAGCCATTGCATTATCCTAAATCAGGGGAAAAAATTTTTAAAACATCCTGTCGAGGCTTATTGACGACTGACTAGTATTATATTACGACATTGTAATGTCGTGCATTGCCGTCATCCTTTTCAGTGGGCTGACGAGCAAATTGAATGACTGAATGTGGTCAGTTACTACAGCAATTCAACCCAACTTCTGTATTGCATGTTATCTACATGTTGATGGACCAATTAAAACCCATCGATCGTGCACTTTCAAGCGCCTATGAGGGTGACAGGCCAACATGACATGACAATCATCCCTTTGAACGATTGAATGCCTTAACTGCTTATTTCAGCTAGCGTGCCTCACTAGTTTATCCTGGCATTTTCAACACGGAACGCTGGTTAAGAGTAGGGAAAAATCCTTCATTTAAAAGCCTATCGATTAAATTTCAAGTACTTATCCATATAACAGCGGTAAATTAATTATTATTTGCCCTATTATAACTACTTTGTCGACTAAATATGTACACTTTAAGTAGGAAGTAATGATAAAGATTATTTTCGTTCATATTCTATCAATGAATAGCTGATTTTTTCAAAGGATGATTTCACATCCATTTCAGTGTCTTTAAAAATTTGTGATTTCTTTGATATTGAATAGAGAATGAGTTGTGAACAGTGCCAATCTGACGAAGAAGAATTTGAGGTAATCGCTGCTGTTGCAGAGCTGCATTAACATAGTTTGAACCAGCTATTCAATTTTATACTTATATAGGAATACTTTTTTCAAGACATCGAAGTACTACAAGAACATGGCATTGTAGGCAATGATATTATTATGCATCTACATTGTAGAATCATTTACCAATGTCGGTATTTGCTTAATCCTTGATTTTTCGCTTGATAGAATTCTGCAGATATTCAGAAAGTTAAAAAGGGCGGTATTTATACTATTGGAGTACGTAGAGAAAATGTACCATTTTTGCAATTGACAATTGAAATTAGCTGTTAAAATGCCTACAAATAAGTGTCTTTCAACGTTAGGGTGTGCTCACGAATACCAAAAAGCAGTTATGCACTATCAAAGGAATTAGTGAAGCCAAAGTAGATAAATTAAAGGTATAAATTACCTATTAAAAGTGCTAAATTATAACTGAGAAATACTCCTAAATTCATTTCTATGTTTTTCTTCGTTAAGGAAGCGGCTATCAAACTCTGTGTAAGCATAATTAAGACACTTTGATCTACCTGGTAGTACTACGCTTATAATCACTATCAGGTGTAGATTTATGACAAAACTGTACTTTAACTGCGTAAAAAAAGGGCAACGGGTTCCTAACTGCACTAGAATATGGTGAAAAAAGAAGGAGAGTTTTCAAGATTTCTACTGGTAGCAACGAATTAGAGTATGTTTCAAGTTCATGCAGCTTAACATTAGACTGGATTAAAAACAAAATACATTTTAATTTTTTTAACCTGTTGCGACGATGCTGCTCACCAATAGTACTATATTAGGAGGTAGGTGTAAATCTATATAGTACGAAATAAATTAAACAACAGCCAAATTGCTCAATATTTTACAATTTTTTAATTTTAATTGATGCCTGCAACTTTAGGAGGCATTGAAAGTATGTCAATAACAGAATTTTTTGGAGGTGAGAAATTGAATAAATAGCCGTAATTATATACAAATTAATTCATCAGCCTCTTTATTATTAATTCAGAATTTCGAACAGGAAAAACTCAGATAGTTCACACAATTTGCGGTTTGTCTACTATACTAGGCGAAATAAATAGTAGCTATACTAATTAGTTGATACACAGTTCTCTTTCCTTGAACTATTAAATACATTTGATTTCAGCTACATGCCAGATTCCGGGAGAGGATTATGAGGGTGGTAAAGCTTTAGTGTTGGACACAGAAGTAAGAAACGTTATTACCTCAGCTTACAATTTAACCGATTTGTTTATAATACTTAATAATAAATATTCAATTTTTTAGGGAACGTTGTATCCTAATCAATCTGGGTCTTACACAATTTGAGAAAATTTATAAGTTATGTGTAGAAGCGATACAGTTAGGCCTCTCTTAAGCTTACATAGGTTCTTCAGGCTTAACTCATTAAATAGCCGGCCCGATCGTCTAAGAACGATTGCTAATAGATTTGACTTAGATGAAAACGAAGTTCTCACCAACATAGCCTACAGGAGAGTATATAATAGTGAGTGATGCTGAGTATAAAGCTATGTTATGCAATAATTCCACGTAATTTATCAAAGTCTGATATTGAAGATATCGATGGACTACCTTTTAAATTTTCGCTGTGACCCACTTTATTTTACTATGTAGGTGAGCATTTAGCAACCTCGATTATTGAAGCAGCTGGGGAATTTTACGAAGAACGCAAAATTTATAAATTGTTGGTATGTCGTACATCTTTGTAAATCCAATACGCGAAGGATTGTTTGCTTTACAACAAATAGCAAAAAAAATTTTTATTTTAGGTTACACTGTAGTATACCTTGAAGCTGAATAGCATTTAAATATTTTAGATAATTGATTCTTTAACGCATCCATTTCGTACGGACTTTTGTGGAAGGGGAGAATTGGCTGATCGGCAGCAAAAACTCGGTCAAGTTTTATCTAAGCTACAAAAAGTAGCAGAAGGTTGGTACTAACATAGTATGGTATTGTGACTGCAGTTTGGCAAGTAGCGTAACATAGCATGGCATAGCAACAAAGTATAATCATGATGATCCAGTCAAAATGATATACGTAAAATACGACTTCATTATTTGAATCTAATCTTTTTCTGCCTGAACTTATTTTCTTATCACGTATCACAAAGAGTTCAATATGGCGATAGTAATAACTAACCAGGCGAGTTATAGCTTAAAACTATTTTCTTGGACGTTAACTAATGTTATCTAACCGTTATTCATGCTTACAGATGGTTTCGGATCCGGGCGGTAAGTCGAAATCTTTGGAACAGATGTTATAAAAAACACGATTCTCAACATTAATTTGAACTGGTTCTTGTAACACCATTAAATATTTGTAGCAACAATGAGGTATTGCCATAATCACTTAATGATGTTGTGTAGATATAGTAACTTTAATTGTAATTGTTTTAATATAAAAATTTCACCCTATGAATGATCTTAAACAGTTTGTAATTTCGGCTATTGTGCGTGTGGGTTAAAATTTACTTAAATGCGTAAAGCTTTCAGGTCGATCCAAAGAAGCCGGTAGGAGGCCATATACTTGCACACGCTTCCACAAATCGTATCAGTCTGAGAAAAGGCAGAGGAGAGACTAGAATCGCAAAAATTTATGATAGGTCTTCGTACTTTCCTCTAATATTGGCGTAACAAGATTTAATTTTCGTAAGCTAATGCTGAACTATTGCGTTGTTATAGTCCTGACAGAGCGGAAAATGAAGCAATGTTTGCAATAACAGAAGGGGGTGTCGCTGATGCTAAAGAATAAGAGTTTTACATTGAAGACTGAGAAATACAAGGGATCACTGATAGAGGTTATCAGGGATTAAAGTTTTTTGAGTTTTGGTGTTAAGATCAAATACTGTTTATTTTCATATATGATGTGACGTTACTTAAGAGCAGGTGTGTTAAATTATGATTGATAGCTAAACACGTAGATATGTTACAATTACGATATTATCTTGCGAATTTAAGAATCTATTAAAATTCTTATACCACAATACTACAGAGCTATATGCCATTGATGTCACTTAAAGTAAAAATATTTAGATTACAAGTCTCCATGTAACAGGCATTCTTCAGTTATCAAGATGTTGGTACTCTACCCTTTAAAGTCAGCATAAATTTCAAAGAATAGATTATACAGCAGTAACGCTTCTTCATCAAACCGGTTTCATGCGATCTATAAGCTGACCATAGTTAATCAGCTTAACCAATTGCAACTGTACAATTTACAATTCACACTAGATTCGGTATAGTTTATCGGACATAGCTTATGCAATCAAGAAATAGCAGAACCAGAAGTAATATAATATAAAAAATAAATTCATTTAAATTTACTATTATTCGACCTATAATTATTTTACTTACATTAATAAATTGCTAAAATCTATATTAACAGTATCCTTTGTTACCACTCACTGCCAGAATTAATGCAGTAAAATTAAAATTAAAATGTCAATACTGCGTTCTATAATCTTATAGGACCTAAAAATTGACCCAGCCTACACTCTCTGCAATGCCGCATACATTTTTTCCCATTTTTATATAAATATACCCATGATCGCCAAAATCTTCACCCCAGGAGTTTCTAACTATCCAGTATGGAACAGGTGCATCAAGTTTATAACCGACAACTTGCACAGCATGATTCAGTACTTTCCCATCGCAATGATGCTGTATGATTCCACCGACGTAATCCCTCCAGCTAGTAGCATCTACGGCTATGGATAAAGGACCATTTTGATTTAGAGCGGCAATCATGCTACTTGATTCTTGGTAGATGAAATTGCTAGTAGTAAACTTCTTTAAAATGATGCCTGTGTTGGTTGCATGCTTCACGCATTTGTCTCTTTTGCCTAAATACGGATTAGCTGATTCTGTTTCAAGGGGTACTCTATTCTTAGTTAGCCAGTTGCAGGCTAGGTAAAACGATCCTCCCCGACAACCACCATCCATATTATCACATGAAAGTAGCTGTTGAACACTAAGTTCTGTGAATGAATTTCCTAAGTATTGCGATAGAATACGTATTCCTTAAGATGCATCTTTAAACTGGTAAAGAAATGTTAAACTTTTAAGACTAGAAAATAAACTCAAATGAATAAGTTTTGAAATTTCTATTTTGTGCCACAACTTTCCTATTGCAATAATTCTATATTATCGATATAAGCTGGAACAACAACCATGCTCTTCATTATACGTACGCATATTTGTAGCCATGCAAAATATAATCGTACGCGTATTTGTAGTCATGTAAAAATATAATCGTGCTGTACTATATAATCGAATTTACGGGCAACTAATGAAATTGACGTGTGTGCTCAAGTAAGTGAATTATATCCGTTTCAGAAACTTACTGACTCAGTAAATAAATTAGGAAATATGGGACTAAGTCATCTTAAATTTAGGAGCACAAGTTTATACTGTCAATAAAGTAGGCAATCCAAAGTACCATTCTTACCAGCTAATGCCCAGGCGCTTGCAATTGTTTCGACTGTGCTGAAAGCCCAGCAGCATCCGCAGCGACCCTGATTCCTTACTGGGCCAACAATGTTACGCTTGTGTTCTCTCCAATCAAGGCTGGAGGGAAATTTAGCAGTAGACAGAGAGTGGTGTAGTTCAGAATTGACAATCTCTTGCGTAGGAACTTGTCGGTTGCCTAGTAGCTCTTTAAATTCTTCATCAGTCCAATCTGCGAATTTGTTGACGCCGTAAGTGGCACCATTGGCATTCGTTGAGGCGATACGACGAAAGTTTTTCTTGAAAGTCTGAAAGCGAAATTCATGTTCTTCCTTAGTAGTATAGTTTCTATTATAGTCTGTTATAAAACTTTTGAATCTTGCTAGGAGATCAGTAGGGCTGTGAACAGATTCAGACAAAACTAGGCTTGTAGAAATCAATATAAAAAGGGTCGCTTTTACAATAAAAACCTTGACGTCCATCTTTGTTGTTGTTATGTAAGCACTGAGCAGTACTGGATATGAGATTGGATCGAAGTACAGCACTGTACAGTGTACAGTACCGTAAAATAAATGTACAGTACTGTACAGTACAGTATTATAGTTACTGCGTTTCTTTACGATGGCAAATTGGATCCAATTTGTTTTTTACTTTTGTACAGTAATCTACAATATCACGTGACTATGTTAACACGTATACTGTACGTTGTACAGTCATAAAGAACTATTTTTATGAGAATTTTGGCCCACTGTGTAGTGTACTGTACTGTACGCTGTTCACTGTACAGTATGTAAAGACCAGGGTTTTACATGTACTGTACAGTAGTACTGTAAATTATGGTCTTTATAAACTAAGCTATTAGAAATTTACTGCTTTTATCGCGTAGTATTTCAACTTCGAAGTAGTGTGATTGGCGCTAAAAGCGCCATTTTGCATATATCAAATTTATTTCAATCACATTACATACAGTATTGTAGTATGCTTCATGATAGAAAGAGTTCGTTCACAGTAACTTAGGTGTTACAAGCGAAGGAGTACTATCATAATTATGGGTAAGTACTTCAAAGTGAAAAAAAAATTACAAGTTATGACAATATTAAAATAATAAATAAATATCAAACTTAAAATTATGAAATCAAACGAGATACCGTTGTTAGTAGATTGATTGGACTGAGCTTGCACACGTCCGTAACACTAGTGTTACACTACTATGACTAGACGATGACTGAGTGACGATTGTTAAGTAGTGGTTTACCATAGTGTACTTGCCTAGACCTTGTACTAGCCAATCAGGCGTTCCGCTATACGTAAACTATTTATATTTTTATTATTTTTATTTACAGGATATCATTCACTCTTTCTCTCTTTCATCTGGTCTCTCAATAAAGGATTAGAGACTCTAAGATCACTGGTTACATACTATAGATTACTAAATTAGCATGGCAGCAAACTAAACTGATCAGCTCATTTCTCAGCTTACTGTACGTATGCTGAAACATCAAGAGATGATAACACTTGTTTCAAAATAAACTCCATAACCGCAAATATTCATCCATCAAAAGGTATTTATACCGTGCGATAGTGAGATTGCGCTAGAGCTGTAGTTCATTTCCAACTCTGGCTAGATTTCATTCAACCTAAGTGATTCAGAATAATTTTGGTAAGTCTTTTAGTACTATGGTTTATGAGAATCGTGATATGTGATATCTGCGATTTGTGCGGGCAGAAGGTAGACCCATCAGAGGCATACGAAATGGCGGGTATGATGTATTTTTGCTTATTTAGCCAATTATTAATTATAGTTTCACAGTACGCATTACTATTGCCTCACCTAACTTGGCCACTGCACAGTAGAAAGCGTACTATAGTTACACCTGTTTACGGTTACTATGGAGCCACTACATATCGTTTTACTAAAATCTGAGCTGTGGTAGCCTGTAGAGCTCAGCTCGCCGATTGAATGTTTTTCCGTATTTTCGATACTACAGTTATAAAGCGACTAACGAAGATAACAATGACGATCATTTAATTGATGCTAGAGAATAGGTGAATATTTGATAACATCCTGGCTTCTTTTTACCGATAGTTTCACAATTTGAACTGCTTTGTAGTATCAGCAGACTGTATTCAAATCTAAATGTGAATCAACGAGTTTTAAACAAACTGTATTATATAATGAGATATAATAAATCAATCCAGATACGGTTGTTGTGATTGTTATGAAGATTTTTAACTAATTAATTATTATTATCATAACAAACGAGATTTTGTCATATCACCGCCCAATAACCGCTATTTCATTCAGCTGCGGTAGCGAAAGACGATGTAAAACACAGTGTATCAGCGCATAGATGTGAGTTTTAGTAGTTCACAATGGGATCGTGATCGTGGGAGGAGTTTTTAGGTTCTCTAGTGAACCATGCTCCGACGTCTTGGCAGTACCGTACCATAGACTAAGTGACATTGGAATGTTACGCTGCAAAAAGCTACTTTAAGCCTAAGTAGTAAAAAATTATTAAAAGAATCAACTGCAGTATGGTTTAAAATTTTTTGTTCATTCTTTCTTCGTGGTACTTTCTGTTATGATATAACAGCAACGGCAACTGAATTAATCTCCTGGAACACCGTGCTCAATAAGTTTTATGCCGTAAATCAATCAGCGTAATTACAGTAATATTGAACTATCGTGCCTACCAATACAGCATACTGTAGTAGTGTACACTGTATAGTACTTACGCACTGTGTCAGTACGTCACAGTACTACACTGTAGAGTGCGTACTGTACACTGTACACTTTATACTGTACGTATTGTACTGTACCTGTAATTGCAAACCGTACCGTACCGTACCGTACTGTACTGTACCAGTACATTGGCGTAGAGTACAATAACAGCAAAACAAACAAATTACAGAATAATAAGAGAATTAAAGCGAGCGACCGATTGATATCACATTCAGTCGATCATTAATAATACGATAAAAGCATCCAGTTCTCTTAATCGTGTTGTCAGATAGAAATTACATATTCTCACTCAATCGATAAATTTCCAAGCAGATCGAGGCAGTTAATAGCTGAATTATTGAATTAAGTTTGCAGTTGTAATACTAGCAATAATTCAAGAAGAGTCGAAAGGTAATCAAAACATTTGATTAATCTCTAGATACGCGTATTAGTGATTTAATGATGCTGTTAAGAATTATTATCTGTACTTAAATAAGCATAGTATAGTTCATTAATTAATATATTTCCTTGTCCATTTTTTTACCCTATGATTGGCAAGAAAATCCTAAATTTACATTACTATATCCTTATATTATGATATACAGATAAAACTCTTTAAATTCTTAACTATGTTTGACTGTTTAGTCCATATTGTTTTTAATGTGGTAATGTGACACTATACCTAGTCGATAGTCTAAGTAGAGTTGTCATAGTATTAATTATAATTGGGATATTACAATACGCTTACGTATAGTACATATAATAAAAAAAATAAAAAAAGCATTAAACAAGTCATGGTATCAGTCAGTCTTGGTTGTTCTAAACCTTTTGCGGCATTATATGAGTAATTTTAAATAAAAAAAAGTTGTTTTGGATAGTTTCACATTGAAAGAGGATTAGTTAGTATACGTTAAGAGATTTAAAATATAGTATACCAGTAATATGCTACTGTTGCATGAGTACTAGCATCTGATAATTACTTCTTACTTTGTGATTGTTGAAAGGCATTATTTTTCGAAGTAGAAGAAGACTAAATTATTAGCTGAAATTGGTAAGGAACGAGTAAGTCGCTAGTTGTTGCTTTTATTATCAGAAAAGTAAATATATATATACATATTTCACTGTGTGTAGATATTAGTTGTTACTTTAGGCTATATTATCAGTGGAAATTTTTAAAGGATGTAAAACTAAGAATAAAAATTTCAAAATAATATCGCCGCAAATATTAGTCTTTGCTATACGGTAGATGAGACGTTATTAATATATGTACATGTAATATTCATTGTGTAAAGAAGCGTAGGCATAATTATTGGTAAGCAGCAGGAATCTTAGGGTAAACTAAAGCGGCTACTTACATTAGGTGAATCATATGGAAGATAGTAGTAAATCTAGCTTAATTTGTTACTATGATTCTCGTAATATAAAAAAGCTATTTTCGGTAAATATATTTGTCATCGTATTCTCGTTTACAACCTCTTTTAATATTTAAGTAAGAGAATGATGAGTACATCCCATCGTTAGGTAAATCTTACTTTGTTTACTAAAATAAAAAAATCTAAGATTTTATCTTTCCTATTTCCAGTTTGAAAAAATAGAGAGGTACTCTGTTTGACCCCAGTTAAGATACTTAGATCTGCTGAATATATTTGCTTTAAATTGGAATTGACAAACCGAGAAACTGCCTCGATTCCAGTCCGGCTAATTCAAACAATGCTGATATGAACAAGAAATGATTCCAGAATATCACTTTAATCATTTATTTACATCGGCTTGCTAAATTTAAAATCGACGATTTTTGATAGCAATCAAAGGATTCCAGAATTATAAGCTTCGATTGGGAAATTTAAAATTGTTGAGTGAACTATTACAAATTGGTGAAAATTTTTAATTTACTGATGCCATGGATAAATCAACGCCTCTTCGCTCATTAAAATTGTCTCGATTCGGTCATTTATGGATTTTAATGTCATCTTTAGCAGCTGGTGGCTGTTGTGTTTCATTCTATTTACCCTACTGGTTAATTGGCTATTGGAATAAAACTACAGTTACATTTGGCACTTTTCGTGCTTGTAATTACCCAGGAATGGTTTATAATAGGACTACCGCTGCCTTAGGCACAACAACAATTCATATTTGTGCCCGTTATAATGACTTCAATGATATCCCAAGTATAGCCTGGAAAGCTTGCACTATTATGCAGGGTGCTTCATGTGGTATCTTACTGTTAATCGCTTTAATTGGTCTGTCTTTCATGTGTATTAAGGACGTATTAACTAAGAAAGCAATTAGGGTAGCTGCCATTTTACAACTTCTTGCAGGTCAGTCAAAAATGTAAGACAATGCTACCGGAAACACAATTACTGTTGTCCTTTCGACAACGATCGGAATATAAGGACGTATAGATGGAATAGTTATTTTTATAATGGAGAATAGCATTTTTAACATTAGAATCAAGTAATACTTTAGTAAATTTGAATCCTCAGGAGTAAAATCGTTAGGATCCGCTACGGTATAGTATTTAAAATTTTACTTCTTAAAATTGATCAAAATCATGCTAGATGATGAGTGAGTTTTAAATTAGTACAGGCCTCAACGATGTCTCCAATAATTAATTATAATACTATAAATAATGAATCACTATTATTCCTCGTCTCTCTTCCCGTCTACTGTCTCGGTGAAATTATAATCAGTAAAGATCTAATTTCACTGTGCTAGCATATATTTTCACCGATTATAATAATTATTATATTTCGTCAAGGTAATCTTAATATTAACGGAGTGATAACATAAAAATGATCATGACAGTAATTGGTGTTGAACCTTTTGTGAGTTTATTTGAAAAGAGAATGGATTGATTACATCACCAGCCTAGAGAAATTGCTAAGTTAATTGAATTTGTTGTTTTGAACAACATGATTGCTAGACATATTGCATAATACGTTATACTCTGTGAATCGATTATTCTATTGCTAATGGCTTTGAGTATTTGTCTTTCAAATTAGAGGGTCAGTGCTACGGAGCAAAACCAATTAAAATCTCTTTTATTCCTGTTCTGATATTGTCTCTCTCATCGATTATACTTTCACGACAGCGGCGACACTAAAATTATCCGAAAATAGATTATGGCTTCAACAATTTCATAGATAATAAATAGCACTAAAATAGCTTAACATGCATCGCACGACATTTTTTTTACATATTTTACCCTTGTCTTCTACCAGGGTAGTCCAGCGCTATGCTATTATTAAAGCATATTGTCTTCCGCTACATTAGAAAGATTTCCGATCTCCACTAAATTGTTAAAAGTTGTCCCAACAGTTAGATTGGGTCTATACATTAAAGCCTATTCTTGTTCCGCTTCCATTCTTTTACTAACTATTAACAATCCTCATTTATTAATTAAGTAGGTAGTTATATTATTCTTTTGTATTTGCGCTTTTGTTAACGTGTAACCGACATTTTGACTGTAATCAGTAGTTTTTCCGTTCTCTAGTTAATCAATCACGCCATGATAATGCGCCTATACTATATTATGCGTTTATAGCAACAATTACTGTGCTGTGCTTAGCTGTATGTTTACGCTGAGCGAATTCATGTATCACTGTTTACTTTAATACGCATTACAGTATTTGTTGATAGTGAAGAAAAATGAACTTATTAGCAGCTCGATGTGAAGTAACATGTGGATTGTGAAAAATCTTTCCTTGCATTATTATCAACCCAAATTTTATCATTACCCCTTAACGCTGTCATGCAATTAGTTGCGAAGCCATAGTAAAACTATTTCTAATTTAAATTCATATTGGCATAGCCTTTAACTAAACTGTTTATTAGGATTCTATTAAAATTCATACGGGATTACTAGGATTATGCTCATGACTACGAATTTCGAATTTCTTGACTTCACGCTGCGGTGCGACATCAAGAGTAGTTATGAAAAAGTTTAATTTACAACAGTAACAAAGTTTCGATATAAGCTTGAAATGATATCTTTATGAAGGTTAATCCATGGACTCAATTTATACCCACAGTATTATTAATTGTGATAGGATCAATTTTCTACCGTCGGTAATTTTTGATTGATACTCCATATTAAGAAAATTTAGGTACAATAGCAGTAAATGGAAGGTGGTAATCAAGGAAAAAACAATGACATTATACAGAAAGAGTTGCATTGTAAAAAAAGAATGATACATTTATGAAGAAGCGGGCAATTTTTTGGACACCCTTGGGTTAGGATGTAGAGTACTGTACTGATCTGATTCTATTTTCCTAGCTAAATGATCATATTTAATTTTGATCGTTTCAGTAAATATCAATACCGTAGTTCATAGATAGCCATTTATTACCCAGTTATGAGCAGTGTCTAATGGTCTATTAATGTACACTTCGAAATATATAATGAACCATCTCAGTACATACTGTTGTAGTATCGCCGTATTAGCACATAAGCCTAAGTTATGTGTAGTCATGCTCTCACTCGGCTGTACTCGTTAACCTAAGCTCTTTTCCATATCTTTCTATAATTTAACAACTCAAAAAGATATCATCCTCTATCAATCTCCAGTAATTGCAGCATGCAGGCAGTATAGCTCTGTATCCGGCTTTTTGAGCCTTTGTCGGATCGTCATCCGTTGTGATTACATTTAAATAAATAACTGGCTATCATATCCTAGTCGGTATGTGAGTTCGCGTCAGAACCACAAATAGCTGTTATCATTTTTGAAACGCTATCATCATTGTCCTTTCATTATTCAGCATTGTCGAAGTCTTCTTTATAGCTGTTGAATAGCTTAAAATATTATTAAAATGTCTTCTGTACATACCCTGGGGATATATTTGCCTGAGGTATTGTTTGGCAGAAACCTGGCCGCCATTAACTGCTGCGCAGTGCGCAGTAGCATGGACCTTTAGAACTCCAGAGGTCCATTATCCAAGCGAGTAATTATACAGTACAGTACAGTACAGTACAGTACTGTAAAAGCTAGCCAATCAGGTTACAGTACAGTACTGTACAAGTGTACATACTGTTCTATGTGTACTGTACTACCGCTAAGCAAAGTCTTGTGCTACCAAATTGTAAGCAGTGACAGTTCTGAATCAGAGATATATAAAATAGTTTTAGCAGCACCATATCAAAATGTGTTAATAAATAAATAATTATATAATTGAAGTTTTATTTAAGGTCTCTATAGTGATAACTCGATCTCAGTCATATAAGGCAGTAGGCCTGCAATAGTCAGAGTACAGTATGTAAATTTGACGGTACTTTGGAACGTCCCTTGCAGTTACATACCGGTCTACACGTTCGTACTGGTCTTAATTTAAGGGAAAATTAACCATATGCCCAATTAATTTAATCCATTTAATCGGGTAATAGTCTCCTAGGTAATTTCTGTACTGACAAAATGGACTGTGTAGCATCGGGAATGAACACATAGCTGGATGTATATGATTCGACTAGTCTTCAGTATTAAAATTAAGCGCGATTTACTGTAATTTACTGTCATAACTTCAAAGAGTAAGTAGAAGTCAACTTACATACTAGTACTGTACATTGTACAATACAATATAACAACAGACTAAAATTCTATGAAATAGTTTATCGTCTTAGATTTTCGTATTATCTTCTTTGCTTAATGATTTTTGAAATTTTTGTTATTATTTAGGATTAAGCTTCGGTTGCAGTTGTGCATTTTATCCTTTGGGTTGGGATAGTGCTTCGGTGCGAGTTATTTGTGGAGAACAGAGTGCTATTTATCGCCTAGGACGATGCACCATTGGATGGTGTTACTGGGCAGGAATTGCCTCTTCGGCAATTTCTCTGCTGGCTGCAATACTGGCTTTTACCAGTTTTGCGATAACTGCTAATAGAGATCGACAGGTTAATCGGTCGAAATCATCTGATGCTAGAGAAACATCTCCTAATCATAATGTTTAATCACACTATAATAATACGAGAAATCGCATCAAACCTTAGATTTCAATAGTAAATAATTAAAATAATATATTTATTAATGCTAAAAAATATTAGTAAATTTAATCGTTTTGCTCGGAGTCAATGACTGTAGTATAAATTATAAATGACAGACATAAATTAGCTGTCTAATGCAATGATAAATCCCTGAAATGCTAAAATACGCACATCGATACTGAATGATTGATATACGAGTAGAATTAGATCAAAAATTTTATCAAATGCATTTAAATTTTAGACAATAGCTCAATGAATGGAAGATTCAGTTCATGAAATCTATAGGAGTGATATTTCGATTTTATCATTAATTGATGCTTTCTTTGGTCCTCTTTAATCGCGGATAAACAGCTAGAAATTGAAAATGTTTCGAATTCACTATTCATATACATCATCAATGTCTTTACACTGTTATTAGGTTTCATCATTAGTTATACAGTAGAAGGCCATTGACATTAATTTAGATCTATTTCTGTTGCGTATCTATTACAATGTAAATAATATCGACTTCCATATCATTGTTAACTAAATTATATAATACAACTAATAATCTAATCTAAAAAGCTCTAGATCTGCATTATGAGCAATGCAAATCTATGCTTGTATCATTTAGTTATATATTCCGATTAATTATAAGTAGCGAAGCTTGAAGAGATAAAAATGTAAATTGAGTTAAAGAATTAAAAGAATCTGCAATCGAGGTACGCATTTATAGCGCAAATTTTATACCTCTATGACAACACTGTCGCTAGTTTATTAAGTATAAAATTTTCGATGTTTTTACTTATGCATTATTTAAAGCACTCTCTATGTCATATGTAACTGAACTGATTACTGTAAAGCTTGTATTTATTGACATTTTTTCATTTATCAAATACAATCTTAAAATTAATTTCTGAAATAAATAACTGGATTTAAGCTATATTCGTTCGAGTAGATGTTAGTAGGATAGTGTATGATTATGGTATAAAATCATTTCAGCAAATTTTATTAATTCGCAACCTTCTTCCTTTAAGTTCTTTTATTATTTCTGATACCATGAACTACTCGATGCACCTAGTAGTCCATACTGATACCTAATTAGTATTTAAAATAGCGGTGACTCTTGTTGCTACTATCATACATTATTTGTATGACTTAACTTGCTATTATTGGGCAGTGAACATCCATTAGTAAGAATCAATTTTAAATTATCAAATTGATAATTATAATAATCAATTAATGTCGATAACTGTGTACCTCAACTTGACATATGGTAAATGCGAACTATACAAAACTGGCAGTTAATTAATGATTAAAATATTTTCACTGCGGTATCGAACTTAAAAAATATTCGTAATACGTATATCCTTCTTACCACAGTAATGACATACCGTGATTCGATACCATATTCTCAAAAGTCTTGCAAAAGTATATCTAACGATAATTATCTTATTACAATTATATCCTAAATCTTATTAATGAAGTACGTTTGAAAGTGTATAATATACTGAGATCAATCACTATATAGGTTTCTTCCCTGATGCAAACAATATGCTTACAATCGAAATTAAAAAATATTGCTAATAATTATTTTGGATGTCAATAGCTTACATAGTGTATTAAATAATATACTCGTACATATATACGTAACATGAGGTTTATGCTTTATTTGTATCGTAAACAGTGCATACTTCAAATTAAAGGCCAATTGATTATAATTAGTTACATGGGTATATTTCTCATTTTGGTAACAAATGAAAACAATGATAGAATTTATATCACAACACAACATAGGGCGAACAGTGAGTATCTAAAATGTATGCACGAAGCTATCAAAATTTTAATCACATATGTTAACGATATCAAATGTTATGCACAGTAAGTAAATTCACTCAGATATTTGCTTAAGAAATTGTCGGATATAGCTATTCGATAACGTCAGTATTTGAAGACAGTAACAATAATTATACATACAAAGATAAGAAAATAAAACCTTGCTTGTTAATATGACTTATGCGGTCAGCATGCTTTAATGTCGTCTACGACAAGTGAAATGATAGCTGTCCTTCATTTATTGCAGTTCTTAACTTAACAGACATTACTTCGATAGTAGAATAATCAGGTAGCTTTAAGTAATTTACACAACTCATTACTGACGGGAGCAAATCATCCGTTTCCCTTTGTATGTCGAAAGCCTTACGAACAATTGTTAATGGAGGATTTAAGCTTTTAAGTCCTAGTAATTTAAGTATTTACACATAATTAATTCATATAGTATTTGTCAATCTATTATCGTGTATTATAATATTAAACAGATAAACCGAAATACCTCCTATCGGAAGTCTTGGACTGCCAGTGACAAATTGCAGAAATTGGCGTTGCTCATCAGTCTCATACGATGACAATATTTCGAAAAGAAATTTCACGGCGCGACTAATATAATAAATAATTCTCAGTGAAGACTTTAAATGCTATAAAATTGTGCTAATGTTACAAACCTGTCATGATTATAACCATGGTCGATACGGCAACAATCTATTAAATCTGTGAAATATAAGAAGTAAGTTTGATTGTAATCCTTTAGAAATTGTATAGCAAAACTAGCATATTTTTTTAACCTTTCATATTAAATTTTTCAAGTTCTTTTCCGGAAAATAAAAGATTTATCTAAGAGAAATGTCTAAAATTTAGCTTGAAAGTTTTAAATTATTACCTAAATCATGGTATTACTATGCTTACTTCATAAGGGTAAAAAATCTGTAACTTTGATAGTGGAAAGATACTTTCAAATCCTTCTTTAAAAGCAGTCATTTGCTTAGACACACCTTCAATAAGGGTCCAGTGTATTACCAGCTAAAAAAGAAATTAAATCTTCCATATTGAATCAAGCGTAACCTTAACGTAAATTTCCATCGAGTCACGAACCTGCAAGTAGTCTTCCAAGTTTTCAAGCGATACAGACATATTTTTACTGTTTTTCTACAAGTGGGATAACAGTTTTAGTAGTAGTACTTGCAAGTAAGCATTTCAAAGAATTTTGAAAAAGCGTGATTACTTTTAACTCAAAATTAGGCTGGCCAGGTAACGTAAAATCTAAACAAAGGTCATCTACAGTTTCTTCAAGCTTTCGTAAATTAGCGACGTTTTCCTTCGACTACATTTGTTTAAATACATGATATTAGTAAGATGAAATAGTAAATTATTTCACTATTTCACTTGCAATAGAAATGCCAGGATGAAAAAACATTTATGATTTTATATTTAGTTCTTACATTGGAACTATCATTCTCAATTCGTGTTTTTTCTATTAGAATGCCATGGAGATCATTTAAAGACTTTGCAAAAACTGGATCAATAATCTAACGTTATAGATTTTAACCATTAGTAAAACAAGTTTATTAAAATTGGCAGTAAATAGGATACTAATTCAATACCTGGATATCCTTAATATTTAAAGTTGATTCTAGGTTTAGAATCCATTTACAAAATGGTTGACTTAGCGGAAGATCGACCTAATGTAAGTATGGTATTTAATATATTTAGAAAAAATATAAAAATATTCAGAAAATTTTACAGCAGATGTGCTAACCAATCTAAAATCCATCAAAGCTTTAGCAATGAACCGCCCAAGTAAATTAAACCTATTACAAATCTGTTTTACGGTTGTCGATTTAGTTTTCTTGCCTATCGGATCTATCAGACAAAGCAGATTAGTTAATCTTGATAATTTAAGGAAAACGTCCAATCAGTTGCTTAAAATTCATATGTCAGTTTATTTTGTCATACTTGGATAGAGTCCATAAGAGGTACCAACGTAAGATTTCCCGTCAATATCACCTAAAATTGTAATATATCAACATATGGAAAATAAAGCAATGATAATAGCTTAACTGATCATCAATTAATATATTGTACTTGTGCTTTTCGAGACGTCATTTCGCCACATATTGAGATTACATCGTTGAAATTCTTGTGATACTTGCGTAAAAAATTCCATAGTAGGGCCTGATCCAAATCCAACCTGATTTATACGTCCAAATTCGTTCATTTCAGCTCTCTGTAATTAATATTAGCTACTGTTATTTACTAACCTCTCCGTCATATTGTATTTCTAAAATTGACTTCGAGCAACTTCTATCCTGAAAGATTGCTTCTGCTTCTTTTAGTATGTCATTACGAGAAATAACTTTCTGGAAAGAGAAAATGTATTTTTTCTAAGTATAACAAAACTAGAAATTGAATACTGCAATCTCCACATACCTTCTTTTTATCAAGTCGACGATTTGAATTGCTACTATTGGAAGCGTCAGTGCGTGAACTAGTTGTTTTCTCCTAAAAAATTTACTTTATAAATCATTCCACGTTCAAATTGAACTGTGATATATTATAATAAACCAACCTGTAACTTTATCATAGCACGTTCACGATCAAAGGCAGTATAATAGAAGAGTAACTGCCGATGTTCGAAAGATATCAGAAAGGGACTAAAAAATGTATAAAGATTGCATATAAATCTTTTATGAGGCGTTCGTGATACTGTATATACAATTCTTTAATACCATTCGTGACAGATAGCTGTCAACCACGTTGGAAAAGTCGATGCCATAACAGCAATTGGATCTAGTAGTTTTTCAATGATAGGACTGAATAAGTCATTACTAGAACAGATTTAAAAGTGTAATACTGTCAATAAATTATAATTAAAACCTTGTAAAAGTCTTGCTGCTTTGGTTGATAATTTATCGCTAGAGAAATTCTCTCTTTGAACGGTCTCAATTAAACTCTCCGGAATCTGAAGGTTACACATCGATAAATAACAGATACTATGTCACGCTTTCATAATTATCAGATAACTGCAATGAACGAAGTTCTTGAAACAGTTTTAAATTGAGACCTGATAAATTCTAAGATTATCTGTCATAAAGTAGATCTCTCTTAAGAGGCCAATTATTTCTGCGGATGGATCACCTAATATGCAATAAAAAATATTTATTAATCATGGCTGTCTCTGGCTATACTAAAAACAATATTCTAATTGTGGTCACATACCCAAGGAAATTTTTTTCTTAACCGCTAGATCAATCCTTGCAAGTATCTCCGCGTTTGAAATATAGTCTATTCGTAAGGGTTATCATGGGTATTAATTATACAAGAAAATAAGTATTGTATTTCCCAGGTTACAAGATCAGTAACATTACCTGATACTTTCCAATTTGATTTCGAAGATTTGCCGCTACTATTTTTTCTATGTTTTCGGGTAGATTCGGTACTTTCTTCCGAATGAGCAGCGGCATCAGTGATTGGTCGGTACCTACGTAGAAAGTTTAATTTAATACTTGTAGTTTACGAACAATTGATTAGCGCAACGCCTACATACAGTACATTAAATATTTTTATATGCATTACCACACAGTATGAACATGGCTCCACAGGGCGGATGAACAATTTTCACGTCCGGAATTGTAAAATCCATATTTTGACTAAAAAATGAATAGGTGTAAGAAGTTTTCGAATAAAAATTAGCTGAAATTGTTAACTTTATGTGATCATATAATTAAGAATACTTCGTAATGTCGGCAAACTGCTTCGTAAAAAGTCACATTGTATGTAAGAACGGTGTCTCCAATTAATAATTCTAATTGATGTCTAAAAAATAATTATTGCAATTATACATGAATAGAATTATGATCATATCAGCTAAATTTTAAAAGATATCACTAATATATATCTGTCTTTACCTGGCATTGCTAAAACCAAAGAATTGACCGGTTGCCTAATTTTGATTAAAGAGTTGGTTAATTGTCCCCGTTTACATTAACGTAGCGAAATATAGCATACCTTTACACTGCTACCGTCATCGGAACTGAGGGCAAGAAACGAGATATTGAAGACAAATTAAATTAAAATTTCATAGCAAATAATTATTAACGCAAATGACAAGGTTTAACTTACTCTTCATCGCTGTCAAGATGGTCGGCTCCCTGTTTTAAAATCAACCTAATTTAAGATTATATTCATAATTAGAATTATAAAGATGCTCTACTTTACCTTGCTTTGCGTCCCATAACCTCGCATTAATAGATAACGTTCTAATGCCTATAAAATAAGTACCATGATCATGAATTATGTCAAATCGCCATAATAAACTATATCGATAAAAAAGTTATAGTCTTTTACCTCAATCTGTGCTAACGGATCGATTTTTAAAATGCCACCTCTCCATTGATCGAGATTATTGCAAGATGGGTGACGCTTAAGTTGGCACTATTATTAGGGCAGAACAGTTTTAATATCATCAAGGTAATGCAAACTTAAAGCAATTACACTAAAGATTTATAAAGACCGTAAGATTATACCTTCAATTGATGAGAAAGTAAATATCCAACAGAATAAGACCTAAAGCATATCCGAGATCAAGTAAACATATTATAACGATAAAGCTACATACTTATATCGTCTTTTTTACATACCCGTCACCGGATATTGAATGATTCGTTGGGACTGAAAACTAGAATACACATAAAGCTATTAAAAATAGACAAGATAATTGACGAAAATCAACGAGGAAAGAATTCATAATCAAGCTACTAAATACCTCTTCTTGTTGAGTGACACAGTTAATTAGTTTTTTTATTAACAGAATTAATGGGGAAGATGATTGTATCGCCTGAAATGAAAAGAAGGAATAAGTTAATACAAGTCTAACATCAATAAATTCTATGCTTATTGCCAGTTAGGCGTTCATTTAGAGCAAAGAGATACTATTTTACCTGAACCTGTTCGTTCGATAATAGTTCCTTGTCCATCGATAGCTATTAAATAATAAATACACTGGTTTTTATAATCCGATCAAAACCAATGCTTGATCATTCGTATATCAAATTCAAGACTTACTGGAAAATTTAGAAATACGTTCAAAAATTGAATGTGGTGTTTCATTTTTAATTCAGAATTTAAATTAGTTCCGGAAAGAAATCTAAAGGATGATACAAAACAAGGTAGTTACAATACAAGGGTTAAACCGTTACATCATCAAAACTCTGACACACTTTAATAAACTGGTAATAACACCGCTATGGATCATTTCAAAAGTTGTAATATTTTCATCGCCTCCTATAGTTACGGATTTTAATTCCTGATAAAAAATTGGTTAATTGTAAGTTAGTTCACATGTGTATTTTTCACAAGTGGACAAATATAATGCAATATACACCTTCAAATTCTTGATATTCCTGGGACTCTGAAATAGTGTAAACAAGATTGTGTAAAGCACACAATTGCGACTCATAGATTATGATTAAAACTCACAAAGATACTTACGTTTCCTTGCAGACTGCGAGCGATGTCAGATAATTTCGATAAAATATTGCTAGAATGTCTGACATTCGAATTGGATGCTTCGTTTTCATAATAATTGTCACAGAAACGTTGGGCTATAGGAAAGTAATAAGTCTGGTGTTAAATCTACTTTAATACTATTTGTTTCCAATTAAAGGATATGATCGCAAACCTTGATCTTTAATCCATTGCCTTAATTTCGAGGTCCTTTCATTAGAAACATTTAAATTGGATTTCTAGATAAGCAATTATAAAAGATAATTTATATTTCCGGTACATGATTTGCTATTTCATCAATTATCGAAGTTTACATATGATAAATCCACGAAATATAGATTATATGAGCTATTCTAGATACCTTTCGATCGGATGCTGATTCTATAGTAGATTTATGCTTTTCTCTTTTATTACTTTTCCGCCTGATATAAAAATTACGTCAGTAATACTGATTTTTATATATAAATTTCTGTCTGGATAATTAGAGTATTACCTTTCCATGGGATTTGGCTTAATTGGTGCATGTTCAGCAAAGGAACTAGTAACAGGCTCTCGGATATCATCGTAACTCGTAATCTAGAGTAACATTTAAGATTTTATTACAAATTTCAGCAAATACCACAGACCAGATAACATATATACAGTTAGCAATATACATTATCAATTGATTTAGCCAGATTAGCCACAGCGTGGAATACTCCTATAAGGTTTAGATAGAAAAAAATTTTAGTCAAACATAGATACATTTGGATGAAATATTACCGTCTTATTAGAGATATCATACCTTCTTTGATAAAATAGTTTCGAAAAACATCTTCAAGCTTATGCATTAATACCTGTGCCATCAAGAGGCTAGAAGCTATAGTTCTAAGATTAATTGACATACTAGTTAGCAGTAATAACATAGAAAAATATATTTATTATCTAACATATATTGTAATTCCTACCTGATTTCTTTCGATGAGATCATGAGCGTTAAATAACTGTAATAAATTTTGAACATGTAGGTAAATGCAGATATCAAGTACAACTAAAAAATGTTACTACTGTACTATTGAGAAAAAATCTCATATACCATGATATAGCATGATCACGAAGGATATCTCTTAAAACTTCCGAACTATATCAAAGTAATAGACTGGTTTAGTATAGGGATAACAAATTTCAGTGTAGATAAATATCATACCTTGAGAAATAAATCATTTTAAGAATTGCATCTAGACAACGTAGTCGAACATCTAGCGCAGGCTGAAAAGCAGTTATCACAATTAAATGAAAGTGTATGATCCCAGAGCAAACTTGTTAATAAAGATGGTAGTGGAGGAAAGAGAATTAGCTGTGTAAAGTAAATTGCAAAAACCTACCGTTGAAATATAAACTTCGTAAAATACAGCGAAAAGGCTCTAAAGAAATATATATACCATCAGCATTACATATTGAACTATTACACAATTCGAATTATATTTAAATCTATCGATTTCTGCAAAACCTTTATAAAGTCCACCGATAACTGAGAGTTTTGTTCGAAAAATGCCTTTAAAATCTCTTGATTCTACGATATAAATAGATAAGCACACACAAAGAAAAATCGTAGTTTAAACACAAAGGCCTCAGTAATCACAAAATTAACTTCAGAAGATATTATTTACCTGATTGATGACCTTTTTATCTGCAGATCGCTTTCTCGACAATCGACGTATTGGTCGCGACATGCGAGACAGTTCATTTGTCTGATGTATTTATAAACAAATACAAGCTTGAGGTATTTGCAAATTAATCGTGTAATTATAATAAATATGTAATTACTTGCTGCATTGAGTTCAGGTCTATATTGTATGGACCTCCATCGATCTCAATACTGACTTCACCTTCACCCTGGCGGTATGCATGCTGGATAAACAGAGAAAATTTTTGTTCCGTCAATAATAAAATACGTTCTAAACTTAATAGTCCACTACGAACCTCTAACAGCATCCCATGATGGTTTAAATAAGGTCTCCAAAGCCCATTATCATCTTGCCATTGCCATTGAATCTAAATTAAAGGAGCAGATCATAACTAAAATCATGAAGGAAAGTCGAGAAGAAAATTCTCTATTATAGTGCATTATCTTACAGGATTTGAAATGTTACTATTTGATTCAAGATGTCTTCTTATCTCAAAGATTCCTAAGTATATTTAAAAGCGCGAAAACGAACACTCAAATCGTGAATCTTTTTGCAAGGTTAGAATAAGCAATAAAGATCCTTTTGCTATTAGTTACCTGACTCCGGAAGTTCCGGTAATAGTTTGCTAAAAGTATTAAATGAAAGGTATTATTAATATATTAATAGTAGCTACAAATTACCTAAATATAATTGATGAAATGATTTCATAAATTACCAAACAAAAGAAGATATCGCGTGCAGTTCTTGAATACTCTTTGGAAGTAACTTCAATTTATAATTAGTCAATACATATAACAACATTAACGACATGATGTACTGGTCCGTTTTCAATATCCTATGGCTTACCTTTAAATTGCCTGCAGTAATATCGACATCAGCCGAACCAATCAGCCAAAATCTAATACTATTGGCAATATCTAGGATAGAGAAGAGCTGCTTTAGAACTAATAAACTGAAATAATAGTAGCTCAAATATTATTTTACTTTGCCGGATTAGCTTCAATGCGGCCTCAGGTACAGTGTAACAGAGAATCGTCAACATTTTAACACAGTCAATGAAAGAGTCCGTACTAATCAAAGGCGGAGACAGTGTAAGCTGTAAAATTTAATATTAACGTAAAATGTTAACCGCTTTATGGTATTAAGAACAGAATCATAACATAAAAAACATATCGTAAGTACGCATAACTCTTTAATAGATACTAACCAGCTGCTGTATCGATTTTAGTAGATTAAAATCAACAATCTTCAATAGTAGCTCCTATAACGTAGCGATTATATGGGTAAAACCTTAGTATCTTCGCAATTATGTCTGGAAAAATATGTAGAAAATACCTCTTCCGCATGCAAATTTCCAACAAGTCTACTGAAGCAAGTGCAGGAATTTTCGACGCATATCTTATCCTTAACGTAAATTCAAAGGTTAGTGAAAATACATTACTGAGAGGGACATAGCTGAAATATTATTACATTTTAATAAATATAACTCACTTGACATAGCAACTTTTCTAAGATAGTTGGTAAAACTTCCTTAACGTGATAAAATTCTTTACTGGTGACATGATGGCAGCAATTTGCAGCAATAGTAAGTGCATATCGCTACATCAATTCGTAATATGGAAAGTATAAATGACATTTATAAGCAGAGAAAAAAGCCACAGTTGCTAATTACTGTTATCCGAAAATTTACCTGTGTATTTATAGGGAAAAAGTCAATGTACGTTAAGCAAATGTTGATACCATCGTGATCGAGAATAGCTTTTGCATGACGTTTGGATAACTCCTTTAATGTCATTAAAGACTGTTCAGCAACGTCCATAAATTCAATTGCTTTTAGCTACATTATCAATCAGTAACAATCAAACAAAGAGTTCAATATGTTAATAGATGTACTATTAAAAATCAAGGTATTATGAAATATATAACTTCCACTTTAGCAACCTTATTTAATAGCTGTGGGATAGCAGACGCAATTACAGGCGAAGTCCTTGGCAGAACTACTAATAGATTAGTTAAGCATCGACCAGCATGATTCATCTATCAGGTATGATGAATTAGAATATTAGGGATATATCAGTACCTTGTTATGAAATATAATGGATAAGCCTCCAAATTTATGTTAGATTGAAGTTATTAGATATACTAACAATTTCAAAGTTATGTTCCTTTTCAAGAAGTTTCACTAATGCCGGAACTATTTGCCTAACGGGAAATCCGGCTAAGGTGTCTTCATTTCCCATAAGAATTTCCTAAAATTGATGCATGTTAACTTATTATCAACGTAATGATAGCTTTATGTTAGCCTAGTTGAAAGATGATGAGAGTGCCATACTTGTGAGAGATTCATGACAGCTTCCGTCTGCCGCGGCTCACTATCGGATTGCAGTTCATCGAGGACCGGCTGATATTTCGAAGCTAATAATAATAAATTATAGCAAAGCACCTTATAAAATAATATAATTAAGGCTCCAACTACACTAATTACGTTATTCAGTAATAAAATAGTAATACTACAGCATAAAATAAAATTAACGAACCACTTCCAACGGTTTTTTGAATCAATTGCTGCACATGAGGTCGTAATGCTCCTAAAAGATGTGACGGCAGTCCTCGTGAAGCAAGCAAGGCTAGCGATTCAAAATTTAAGTAATGATATCAGTACGTGCAATGCGCTTGTTATGAATCTTTGGAATCAAGGCAAAACATTGTAGATATTTTAATGAGATTGCAACAACTTAAATATTCAAGTAACAGACTTTTTTGTACTGCATTGACTTTATTAAATATAATATATTACATAGAAACACTTGATAAATACAGTATTATACCTTGCAATCTCCCAAGTTCACCTTCATCCGGTGCACTAAGATCATCAATACTTCGGGGTGATGAATGTGCTAATAATGCATGTTAATAAATGATATGATACTGTTAAAGATATACAAGTACTAAATATACATTACCTTAATATAACTATGAAATCTAAGGTAATGTGATCGGAATGGTAACATTATCTTAACTGACAAGATATACATAATATATCAACCTATAAGGGACGGAATACCACCAGAGGCGCCAACATTGGCATTAGCTGATTGACCTCCATCTCTCCCCGATAAACTTGCGGAATTCGAAGAACTATTTTGATCGTCTGATGACATCGCCCGGCTACCTTCAACGTCACAATCGGGCTTCCGGGGGCTGCGCCCACGACAACTGGAAAAGGAAAAGGTGTCAATGTTGAAAATATTGCCGAAGTTAAGTTATAAAAGTAAGACTAATCCGTCCAATCATGAGTTCAATATTATATACTGCATGCATATTTATGAAATGTAAAATTTGTATTACAAATTGCGTTGTAGAAAGTAATAGAAACAATGGACTATTACTGTAGGATATCTTCTACAGTAATGTTACCTAGTACTGGAACAGGAACCCGTTGCTTCTGTGTGGGAATTACTCTTGTTGTCAAGATGATAATTCACACTTGTATCAACCAAGTTAGTGCTCTTTACTTTATCACCTAAAATGTGATAATCGCTCACAGGATCAATTTCAGACGAGCTTTTAGGAACTAGTAAAAATGAAAGTAATAAAATTTTAGATCAATTAAACGACATTTATTACTTTCAAATGCACTTTATACAAAATATTTGATAACGAGTGTAAAACAAGATTTAAAATTTGAATATAATTTCATCATAATTGTAACTATTTGCGCAGACTCTTTAAGAAGTATCCATGACTAAAGCTGACCTCGTTGCTCGTATTTACTGTAACCAAATCGAACAGGAGGGGTTGAATGGCGTTTAGAACGCCTTACGCTTTTGCTGGAGGAGGAATAGGAGTCTTTATTTGATAATCTATTCAAAAATTTATACAACACCAGTGAAATTAGAGAAAAACATTTCGTAATTGAATAGTAATTTATTCAAAAATGCTATTACTTTATCTGCAATAGAAAAAGGTTGCAATCTCGTTACTAATCCACAAGGTGTACTCAAGCAAAGGGTAATACTGGACAATGTTTGAATTAGGCAATCTATAGTATTGCTTACAAGGGTCAGCCACTCCATTTTTATTAAGGAAAGCTGATTTTAAAAGAATTATTGTCAACAACGTATATATTATGTATGCTTAGACTATTTCTTGTGAGATATTTACGTCAATAAAATATTTCTGCAACATTGTTAATAGTTAACAACAATCATCAAGTTAACTTGATCAAGGCTAAGGTTGACGTTGCAAATGGCCATTACAGCGACTATAATATACGTCGTATAACGGTAAGCTATCTTTACAGAAAAAGTGGGCAAAGTCGCTAAGATATTAATATTGATTATCTAATACAATTTCTACCTATACTGTAATTGATTATTACTGTATACTTTGTTTGAAAACTTTCTATAACAAAAATCAACCTCCAGACGGTACAGTACAGTACCATACACTAGCGAACACTCGATGACGGTGACCTCCAGTATCACCTATTGTGACTTTTCATTCTAGGGTTTGCTGTTTGGTTGATTTTACTGTACAGTTGTATAATTGTGAATGATGGTGCACACACGATCGGGTATTCAATCTTTCACATCTCGTATAGTTGATTTGTACGCTATCTCAATGAAAAAATTACTGTTCACTTTGACGTAAAACATCTGTGTAATTTTCATAGATGAAGACGATATTTAAGGAAAATGATGACACGTATAATTTTTAGCTACACTGGGTCAAACATTCTACCAAATACTACAATAATCTTCTAATCATGTACTGATGTGCTGTACTGTATTGTACGTTTTTATTATTTTTATTTACTGTTGCTTTATTCCTAGAAAACTGCTTTATTTTTTTTATATTTGTGGATGTGTGCGCGGTGTGTGCATGATCATAACAGATTTTGTAAATAAATTGAATGCTACGCTACAATATTCGTGATCTCTATTCCACAGCGGTGTAATATCACGGAATGAGAAAAGTGTCGATGAAGCGAGAATTGCAAAAATTTCAAAAGAATGGAAAAATTTTTTTCATGAACTTTCAATGAATAAATTTGTATTACCGACAGACGACTTTTTTCATCGAAATTACGTACAGTATGCCGTACCCTACAGTGCATGATATTATTATTTTTTGCACGTTAAGACGTCCATTTAATCATCAATTAGTTTACTGTATACTCTTCTAAGTTGTAGCACAATACGGTACAGGCGGTGCTTCCCTAGAAGGAAAGCATCCAAACACGGCTTACAGGGCTTTTAAAGTCGCAAGATACAAAGTGTGAACGTGTACAGGCACAGTATTGTACTGCTGAACATGCACCTACAGTACAAGACCGAAAGTATGACACTTGTCATACTGTACAGTAATACTGTGCTACATACTGAGATCTGAGGGAATGGAGAATTTGAGTAAAAGAAAGTTTTCTTTACCAAAGGTTCTAATACAGTGAACCCATCTCATTTCAGTCATAGACTTGGTATATTAATTAATATCAGTATATAATGGTTCATGCAAAGCGGTAGGGCAGAGACAGTATCTACAAAAAAACAATCATAGTAGTAGTACTGTACCGTTGCTTTTTATAACTTGAGCAACCTTGCTGATTAATGTCTACTGGTGATGGGGATCTCTTGTGTGTCGACCTAAATTATAGTATACGCAAGGAATAAAAATAAAATCAATTTGAAAGAGCAAATGTTGAATCATTAACATCATTTTCGAACTTATTATAGCGTAACAATTATAAAATACAGCACTGTATAGAAAGCAAAGTATAATTTTAACGCCACATCGTTACAGATAACTTGAGGAAAAAAAGTCATTACTATACCATAGCTATTATTATTTATAGCTGAATTTCTCCGACACACAGACATGATTCTAACCTATTAACGGGTAGTTTCACACTATCTAGAACTTCATTGCTATGGTCCATCCGTCGTTAATCTTCACTAGTACAATGATAACTACGTCTAAGGTTTTCCATTCGCATATAGCGTGCTTCCTTTCTTTTTCTTACTTCAATAGACAACCAATGAAGAAATGTATGGATAAAAATTATCAGTTTTTTATTTACATCTCTGAATTACTTGGAAATATAGCGGCTTACACAGGAATACGAGAGTCGTTTTATTGATTGATGATGTCGAAAGTCGAAACGATGACTGGAATATTCAATCTTCAAAGATGATACTATCAATACTTCAATTACTGCCCTGCCGTTCGCTTAAAAATGCGCAGCTCTGGGTAATCAATAAATCATAATAAAATTAAAATTAAAATTAATAAAAAATTATTAATTCCCTGCCAGTTTTTAGCTGTAAGGTACTGTAGGCTGGTAATAGAGTATGAGGTAATTGTACAGTACAGTACCGTACAGTACTGTACGTCTTTTATAGTGTACTGTACACTGTACAGTACCGTACTGCACAGTGTAAAAGGAACGTCTGGCGATTTCTATCAGTACAGTACAGTAGTACAGCGACAATAGGTAGAAATCTTCAAGATCTTTACTGAACTGTACAGTGTACAGTATGACTTTGCGTGTGAATCGAAAGTACTGTACTTTACAGTACTATTTACTGTGCACGGGTACACGGCACAGCTGATGCAGTGAACAACACTCATTATGCTGCATCATCTTTTTTTAGTACAGTACAGTATATAACAGTTTAGCCTAACCACGGCAGATGTGCCATGTTGCTGACAAGCTGTCATGTTGTTCGCTGGACTACACTGTACCAGTATACTTTTCAGTCATAATCGACATTTGTTTACAATTTGGCATGGAAAAGTACAGTGGACGTTCATTGCGGTACTTTTACTGGAACAATTTTGCCTTCATCTTGTTGTCCGAGGTGGTAGTGCACTTGAGTACAGTACCGGCCGACAGGCGGTACTCTCATTATCGATAATTCATGACTGCATGCAGATTGCAGTATAGCCAGTATCACGGTACGTACAGACGGTATAGTACTGTACTGTACATACAGTAAAGTAATTTCAATTGCTGAAGATCGTGGCCATTGAGCGACTACTGTATAATCATGACTTCGGTGTCACTTGTAACTACATTTGCTCGAAGATTTTCTTCGACATCTCGCTTATTGCAGATTCAAGTTGGAGACAAATTACCATCAATAGCGTTACATCAAAATAGTCCTGGTAACAAGGTAGACATAAGGCAGCTATTTGCTAATAAGAAAGGAATATTATTTGCTGTACCTGGCGCTTTTACTCCAGGATGTTCCAAGACCCATTTACCTGGTTATCTTCAACATTACGACAATTTTAAATCCAAAGGCATTGATGTTATTGCATGCGTGTCTGTCAATGATGCCTTTGTTGTGGATGCTTGGAGTAAAAGCAATAACGTAGATGATCGACTTGAAATGCTAGCTGATACATCTGCGCAATTTACCAAGTCTGTTGGACTCGATTTTGATGCTACTCCAGTTTTAGGTAATAATCGTATACCTGGATATGCATTACTGTATGCTCTAGACCAGGGACGTGATAGGACTAGGCATAAAATACTATATAGCGTCCACGTATCTAGCTTTATCAAAGTTGATATTATCGCGTATAGTAAGTAGCAACTCTGCTCAATACGTTTACTTTTACTCTTTTTTAGTCTTATAGTAAAGAATCCTACTGCAATCTTAACTCTTTAAACATGAACCTCTATGACTGTACAGTACTGTACAGTGTACATTAGTGCTATGCATGTACCATTGTACCAGTCGGTTTAAAATTGAAGAAAATCAACGTAAATAAATAAAATTTAGGTAGATATTACTGTAAGAAGAAGAATCATAATTAAACCACTGGTAATTGTTATAATTGTCAAAAAATAGAATGTTACAACTACAATTGAGCGAGAATTTTTTTAAATGTTTTAATTCATTTTACGTCATACGATATAGGCAACATTCGATCGAAAAGATATGCGATGATCATAGAAGACACAGTGGTAAAACAGATTAATGTTGAACCTGATGGCACGGGACTTAGTTGCAGTTTGGCTCAGAATATTTTAGAGCAATTATCATAGAACTGATAAATGTTATTGGTAATAAACTGCAGTATATTGCTTGGCTCTAATTAATTGATATCAAGATTGCCAACCTGTTTGATAAAGCAAATCATTTCGATCTCATTAAACTTATTCTTTCATTACGTGGTAAAGCAATTATACGTTGTTACTGTGTGAGGTGCATATTACATTCAATCCTTAAAAATCTGTTCATGCGCTATTAGAGCTGTTTAAGTTGATAACATACGAGTAGAATCGCTAGTACAATTTACAGCTCACTTAGTCATACTGTGCCTACTTTACTTGCATAAGCAAGATATGATATACAGAAACATAAAGAGTCAATCTATGGTACTAAACTATTGTCGAGAATAGCTACCAAGAACTTACTTTGCAAACTTGATTGAAACAAAATAAAATTAATAGATGAACAGGACATACGCGTATGTGATGAAATGACAATCTGATATACTGCAGTCGCTATAAATGGAACACAAAGATGAGGTTGTACTGTACGTTTCGTACGATTCTGGACTGAAGTTACTTAACCAAATTGATGAAGACGCGATATACATCTAGCTAAAGCAAAGTTGCTAGTTGAAGAGGTTAATAACATTTTATGTACAGCAAATTAACACTTGCGTCTTTGAAAAGACGCGCATAATTTCTCCATATCATGGATGTTAATATACATTACAGTACAATATGATACAGGTAATACTTAAGAGATTTACTCTATATACAGCACTTTACAAATGTACATAATTTGCATGATTAATACTTACGACGAAATATTAATCATAGTTTAGATAATCTTACAGTATAAATGCATTACACAGTAGAATATGATCAAATGCGAATTTAATTTATGCAGTCTACATAGCATTATTATAACTGTGATACACTATCCTGCAACCTACAACTGAAAAAATAGCGTGGATCCCGATCAGAAATAAGTTACAATGAAGTGTATCACGTTCATACTCGTAAACAATAATATACGCGTATAAAAAAAGCATAAATGTACATATATAAGCGTACATACGTAACAGGAGATAATTAAATATGTAGAATGCTAAAGGATTAACAAGATAATATTATTATCGAATCCCTATTAATCATTGATCCATCTCTTCCACGGAAATACAGATCTGCAATATGCTACTTACAACGTTAACCAATACGGAATAAATATCAATCAAAATAATATTATTCGTCTAAAAGAGAGTCTTGCGTCCATTGAGTAAATATTATCGGTGATGGAGGGTCTGTAACTTTTACAAAGTCATTGACGTCCTCATAATGCAATTCAGATATCTGCAAATTGCTATCTCCAACAGGCGGCACTCGGGCACTGTCGGTAAAAATGTCTAAATTAATATCATTTTTGATAAACTCGACATCCTCTTCTCCACTGGGATAACTTGCCATAATATTTTTACTTTTATTGCAATTATCTGTAGAACTAAATCTGTCACTTGGAATATCGCTTTCGTTAGCAGTTAACTTATCATTATTTTTTAAAGTGGTCGAAGTTGCACTAGTATGCAAGCATTTGTTGATTTGATCCATGCTGCTATCCTCATCGTCATTACCTGGAAAAGTTGATAAAATTACGCGCATATACTGTATAATTTTATGTTGATTCAATGAAGAAGAACTACTATTGTTACCTTCGTATGATCCATGAACAGGAAAGCTGTTCGAGGCATATTTAAAGAAGGAGGTTAACTTGGTCTGAGTAAGGCATGGTGTCGTAATTGGTTTGCCGCTGATTAGCAATTCGCTGTTAATATGGCGTCTAGTATCAATAGGGTCTACACTATTTCTATCAGTATCAAGTTTTCGAAAGACCTGTCGATGAATCTGTGTCTGCTTTTTTCTTTTATTAACTTTTGGTGTATTTTGTGAATTCTTTTGCTTTTCACATGATAACCATTCTGTATTCTTGCAGTCATAGGGATAATTCTCTGACAACTTCGGGTGATAGAGTTCCAGATTTTGAAGATTAAACTTTGATCCTAATTTGTTCACCGCCATGACTAAAAATCGAAACACATTAATTCAAAATATCCCGCGTACTCGACACCAACACATTACAGTACTGTACTGTACTGGAGCTAGAGGTCTTCATGGTCTGGTCCGATCCGGACCCAAGTCTGTACTTCTAATTCTACAGTACTGTACTGTACTGTACTGTACACCTGTTGACGATATACAGTACTGTACTGTACTGTACAGTAGTACTGTAGTTCGCAAGTCTCTAGTAATAGTACGGTAGTGTGTACTGTACAGTACAGTGAGTGTACAGTACAGTACAGTACAATGCAGTACAGTACAGTGGCGATGATTTCATAGTGACATTGCTTTTGCTAGAACACCAATATTCTAGTGGTTAACGCTAGTCCCCGAGTGCAGATTTGCAGTCACTCGAACGATCTTCTGCACACAGATATACAGACGTACGGAATACCCAAACATTATAGCTCGCTCTCATACCATTTCATATCATATCATACTGTACAGTACTGTACCGTAGTGAGCTAGAAAATTTTAAAATTTCTCGAAAATTAGTGCCCTAAAAAAAGACAAATATGAACAAGAACGCATTTGAAGTGTAAGTTGAAGAAGCGAACTATCTTATAATTACGGTTGGTCTCATTTGCAATATGATTTCACCCATTTTGTTTTACTTATTTACAGTTTATCACCAGACGCTGAAGATAGTGGAGATGTGAGTATACACGTAAGAAGTAGTTAGAAGGATCATTCTCAATAAGTGCATCTTTTCCATCTGTAATACGAATTGTATGTAATTTACAGATACTGTACTTTATGCATAATATACATTGCACAATACAGTATAAGGTAATTAAATCGCTATAGCACGAAAAATCTTACGTTGCTGTGTTGCAATGATCGCTTGCAGTTTCGAAAGATTGATTTAAGCATATTGTACACATATCGGTTAGCTTAGGACTCGACAATTTTTATACGTATTTTACTCCATCAGACACGTATTGCTACAGCTTAATATATTCGATTTGATATCGATATTAGGAAGAAAGTAAAGCGCTTTCAGACGCCACTGTAGCCGTTGGAGAGCATGCCTTGAATAGCAAGTTTACATTTTGGTTCTCGCGACGACCGCCTGGTAAACAACAGACACCAGTAAACTATGAAGAAAACATTAAACCCGTTGGCACTGTTGCCTCGGTAATAAGGAATGTTCAAAATTTCAATGTCAAACATCTGTTATTCAGTATTTATTGTATTGTACGTGCAAAGTACGATATCGAAGTTTAGTGATCGTAGTTTGTAAACATGCTGAAATTAGGCTTCAGAAGGTCACTGTTTTATCTTTAATGGTGACCTTCAAAAACTATGCAATGTACTCTATCCTACTACTGTACTGCATGTTTGTGCAAATATTCTTTATTCCCTTTCAAATTTGCTTTAATTCTTTGAAAGGTCGAACAATTCTGGAATTATTACAGTCATATGGCACGGCCAGGGGATCTGACAGGACACAGTGATATACATTTATTCAAGGATGGCATCAAGCCCATTTGGGAGGTTGTTTGCATTTATGTTATAGTAATTGTGGAGACTTTGTATGACTATAATTGCAGTGGGTACGATAGTGTGTAGTACTACGAAGTCGCGATATTGTAACCAAGTGATACCAATTGAGTGCTATAGTATTATAATGCTCTATCTATTCCCTACAGCTTAATCTATATAGCTATATGAATATTTTTAGTTATGGTTCGTGAACGTATAAATCGTATGAATGCTGTACTTGTAAATACTTTCAAGCCCCGTTTGTATTTACATATAATTATAATAGTTTAACTTAAATAGATAGATAGATGTATATATTTACCATTAGTCCCTGATTTTTACAGCAGTATCGCAACTCTATTAACCAATTGTTTCCCTAGTACTTTACTAACATTTGACTACATGCATTTCTTAAAAGGACGAAGCCAATCGTGAAGGTGGCAAATGGATTATAAGATTGCGAAAGGGCCTTGCTTCTAGATATTGGGAGAATTTGGTAAATTGAAAAAATTAAATATTTATGTTAAACCCGTTATTATTTTATTATGTCTTACGCACAGGACCTACGATATAAAGTAATGATATAAGTTATCATATAATCCAATCAGCGACCGTTTTATGCCTTTAAAATAATTGATAGCGTTATTTCATGTTCCATAAATCAGATGCTAATTATCTTATCCTTAATGGTCATTTGCTGTACCATTTCTGAAATAAATATTTATATTATACAACACCGAATACAGATTTTAGCAATGATAGGAGAGCAGTTTGCAGTTGGAAACGAAATTTGCGGTGCTGTTGTATCTATCCGGTTTCAGGTATGTCTACAGAATTTAACGATCATTAATCAAAATATATAATCAGAAATGCCTTAAATAAGTGAAGCTGCACCATTAGATCACGTATCACTTAGTGAAGTTGTTATACGAAAGTAATAGAGCCTGTTGTATTAGCCTCATCTAATATCTTCGTAAACATGCCTGAAAACTTGTTAAACCTGTAGGAAGATATTTTATCCCTGTGGAATAGATCTGCTACCGAGCAGCTAGTTACTGCTAGAATCAGGTAAAATAATGGTACTCTTAGTATTTCATACGTTGTTAATGTACATGATTCTGTTATTAATAAAAAGTAATGTAATCGTCTGTATAGTATCAGTTGTAATATCAAATATATACATATCATAGTATACATACATTAATTATTAATTGATATATGTGTGTTTAAACGAAATTCGAATTTAAATCTTAGAATGTTAATTAAAGCATAACCTTATGCGCATATGCGATATCATGAGGTTTCTATTGCCGCGCCAACATCGAAACAAAAAATTACCACAAATGCTAATATTTGAAGGTTTGAGCTAATAAAGCTATATTCTGTATGTTTTTCAATGATTGCAGGGATACACTGAAACGAGTTCTTGGACTACCGGCCAACACCATTTTGGAATATAAATCACATAATGATAGCCTAAAGTACGTATATCACTTGATCTCTATCTTTTACTATTTGTCATCTTCTGTTATATTTTGTTACTATATCTTCCGCAATCTCTGTGTAATATCTGACCTTTCCTTGTCTTCTACAGTAGAAAATACAAAAATACTAGTATGCATTTTTGCTATCTTATCATAAATATTACACAAAAGATTGTACTGTAGATTTATGAAATGGAATTTTTTGTATTCATAGATTGTGCGCTTTTTTTCATTTAGAGATAACTCGAGTTATAGGAATACTGATGTTTTCGTGAAGTAATGACATCCGGTATACATAACCAGCACAGCAATGTTGCTATCAACAAGATTTGAGTTATTCTTCTCGGCGAAAATTTGTACAATAATATGTAATTAATCTACGCATGTATTTGTTGTAATTGTCTGTAAATTATAATAATTTGACCTTTGTTGACTTAACAATACTATGCAATATTATGAATCCGATTGTACAATGTGAGTGAAAAGTTTCTGTATGGTAGCTATTTACATAACTAGATCGAATAGGTTTTAAACTGATTAAATGTATATTTATTTATATACCCAAGTGCAGGCTTTGATAGCAGCAAGTACAATAATATCTCTAAGGGTTGCTAGTAGATTTCTGAACAATTTCTATATACTTGTTCTGATTTACCACCAAGTAGCAGTACTGCCCATTGGTAAAAGTTACATAACTTTATTATGGTGTCTGCCTAGCAAGAATATTACAATGTAGAACATCACCTGTTAACATGAATAGCTGCAGGCATAGGCAGCCGTATGCCTGTCCATATACATAATTTATTCTAATTCATAGATTCACGTATTAGCATTGATCATATTTTTAATTTGCATGGGGTCATTGATTTCATGACATCTCGCAATTGATAATACCTTATTATTACAACACTATCATATCGTAACTCCTGATGTAGTGGCCTGTAAAAATTTGGCACTTGGCAGAATCCTACAGTATTCGCTGTCATAATAATCATTACAGATGATACGGGATACGATACTATTAAGCATACAGTAGCATTCAAGTGTAATCCTGACTTAACAAACGATTTTGAAGGTTGAAGCATTTGCAATATAACGTGCAAATCTTAATTACAGCTAATTTATTCTGTTTTTCATAATATATATATAGCGAAAGATTCATTAAGTATACTAATTGATAATTACACAATTTATGCTACACAATGCCCATGTGTACCACGCTCCTAGTCAATTCCTAATTATTTTATCACTATATTCCTAAAAATACTGTATATTCGCATTTCTGTACCCAGCAAAATGTATGAAATTATAACATTTCATATCAGAATACTCGCTCCAATCTCAGACCAGACCTCACATGTACAGGTGTACCTGTTGTACCTTATTCTCATAACACATGAAACAAAAACTTTGGTAGCAAGTAACACTGAGTGTAGTAGGAATAGTGCAATTTATTAAAGATTATTCTGGCCGAAATCTTGAGGGCAACTAGAAACTTTAATGGTAGCTTCGTCATATCATGTATGAATTTTTTATTCGCTACTCAAAGATACAAGTGCTACTGTATTTATTCTTTCTTATTTTTATATGCCATAATTAGTTTCGTGGAAGGAAATCCAATTATGAATGTTTGCACAAACCAAAACAGCTGCTGCCAAAATGGCAATTCTTTTTTTCTGTAACGTTGAAGTGCATAGGTATACTGTTAGAACTGTCATCATAATTGTTAACTATGCAATATCTTTAACTAGGCAAAGAAAAAGTAGACTCTGTAATAATAGCAGAAGATACATAAGAATCAAAAATATGCATAGAATAGCAATTATTCCATCATGTTGCATGTTTATGAGTTTACTCCATGACTAATGTGTGGTAAGTTAACCAGTTTTGGACTTGATCCTACTGGGTTACATACGTACACTTACGGTAAATATGTATTTCATCGATGGATTCAGATCTTAATTTAAGATATAACAAGTTACATACTACTGTACTACGTTGTTGCAATACAATACGCCACACTCAGGTCTAAGCCACAGGCTATAGTTCTACATGTACGCTATTACAGAATAATACTTTTAGTTCTATTCTTCCAAATCATCAAATAGGATACCGGTAGATCTTTTAATTTACATATTCAGTACACGACAGTTACATTATGCTGTAACGTTAATGTATCTCGTAAGTTGCAGTATACTGCACTACGCTTGCATATACATATCATCGCATCACCTGTAAATGTTACATGATATAGCAGTATACAATAATAATATTAATAGGTATACCTGCTTAGATAAAAAGCATAGGTGGCTTCGAGTATATGTAACCCCACAGCTACCTTAAAACTTCAAGATAGAATAAAATATCAGCACATTCACGATCTCGGAGATATTATTATTTTGTGGTTCTAATAGCTCATACGCGATGCAACATATATATTTATTCACTTTAATGAGATCACTGTAATTATGTAATTGCATCTAATTAATTAAATATTACTGTGCACCATCGCATTCCTAATCAAGGCTGATCACTCACTGTAACTATACGATACATGTAGTACGATAAATTGCATAAGTCCTATCCAGCAAATCCAGCTGGCATGTCGCTTAAATCTAGCATTTATAATTGTCGTAAAAGGTAACAGGTTGTCCGTACGGTCGAGTATAGATAATAAATGACGACTGAAAGTCTTCAGAAAGTACACACTATGGTAACTATGACATGCCGTACATTCGAATAGTAGCAAAGTGTATCTTGTAAAGGCTAGATACTCTTTTTTAAATTAGGCCTACAGTATATTGGTATATAGTTGCATACAAACTGGTAAATGAACTAGCAGTGATGTTGCGTTGATCATTCTATTACTTACCCAGTATATTCGTATATAGTTGTATACAAACTGGTAAATGAACTAGCAGTGATATTGCGTTGATCATTCTATTACTTACCCAATATCTAATGAGGTGAGATAATTTTCCCTTAGTTTTATTAAAGGATCACCCAGCGGTCCAAGAGATTTATACGGAATCAAGTCAGGTCTGTAAGTTTCCATCTGTTTCGTTGGTTAACGGTAAGTAAATATATATAATTAATTCATGTACCGTAGATAGTGACTCATAGAATGCAATGATATACTGTACGTACTTTTTACAAATTACGGATTATAATTTTATATAACGCAGTGCTGTATGACAACGAATACATACATAAAAAAATGAAAGCCCAAACACTATCGTGACCGTCCAAAACATCGACGGAAATCGAATATATCCCTGACTTGCGTCTCTTTTTGGTGCCATTTTTGGTTATGTACGGGTTTTTTTATCACTGGAAACGTTCAAATCACCAAGGTGTACTGTACGTACAATGTGCCGTAGGCCTGTCACGAGTCATGACTCGGTCTACAGTACAGTATGTGACTGACGGACTTGACTGATGGACTGCAGCACAGTATTTATTCTAATATCCACGAGTAGGCATGGTGCTGCACAGGTACAGTAGATGTACAGGGTGTCTCATAAGTATTTCCCACTGTTTGAAATTATATCACATTATAACTTCAAGTCCTTATTAGACAAATTTGGTATTATTTGATATGATATCATGACTTCATGAGGATATTAGTAATATCACGAGTAGGCATGGTGCTGCACAGGTACAGTAGATGTAAATTTAGTAAATTACTGCAGTAATCCATGCATGTAGCCGGTGTAGTGTACAGTATCTAGTCGTAGGTATCTACTTCTGAGACAAATAGAAATCGCGGATATCATCATGAAATCATACCATATGATATCATGACTTCATGAAGATATTAGTAATATCACGAGTAGGCATGGTGCTGCACAGGTACAGTAGATGTAAATTTAGTAAATTACTGCAGTAATCCATGCATGTAGCCGGTATAGTGTACAGTATCCAGTCGTAGGTATCTACTTCTGAGACAAATAGAAATCGCGGATATCGTCATGAAATCATACCATATGATATCATGACTTCATGAAGATATTAGTAATATCACGAGTAGGCATGGTGCTGCACAGGTACAGTAAATGTAAATTTAGTAAATTACTGCAGTAATCCATGCATGTAGCCGGTATAGTGTACAGTATCTAGTCGTAGGTATCTACTTCTGAGACAAATAGAAATCGCGGATATCATCATGAAATCATACCGTACGATATCATGACTTCATGAAGATATTAGTATAGATGTAAATTTAGTAAATTATTGCAGTACTGTAATCCATGCATGTATCTAGTGTAGTGTATAGTATCTAATCGTAGGTATCTACTTTTGAGACAAATAGAAATCGCGGATATCATCATGAAATCATACCATACGATATCATGACCTGATGAAGATATTAGTATAGTATAGTATTGTAGTTCGGTATGTATGATGAATAATGATCAACTTCAATCATTATGCTGTACACACAGTGTACACTGCACACTACCGTATATTTATTTATCATCATCAACATCATTAATGTAATGTCATGACTAATGTAGTCTACTCCAAAATATGGAGGCCGATTATTTTACCGATCATTTGCATCGCAAGTCATGTCTGCAACGGTGCTGTCCGCATTTAAATTTTCTGTTATCATTTCATGGTACCGTATGAAATAGAATGGCTGAAAAAATGACAAGCTTTCACATTATTTCCCACTATGAGGCCCTCGCTTTCTTTCTTTATTACTGTAGTCCATTAGTCCTGGTACGGTATTGCAAAAACACGAAAACTAAATATTTACAGGACAGGAGCTTGCGTGGCGAATTACGGTAGTATTGTAGTAGTACGCTACTTTATCATGTTTGCTAAAATAGATGAGTATACTGTGCTTACGGTTGCAATATTTATTTATAAAGTGACTGTAATACAAATCACGTCAAAACGCTATTCAAAAGTGATTTACTGTACTCGTTTTCATTTGCAACTCGCAAATTTGATGAGATTATAACATAGATGAAGAAATCATACTATTGACATGTGATTTACTCATTGTCACTGACAGCTCTCCAATCTGTTGCAGTGAGTTGTGCCTGCATACTATCATCGTACTGTACTGCAGAATGCATCTTTGACTGTAATGGAGATACTTGAAAAGTTTAAACACCAGATCCTTAAATGTATTTATCCTCCTTCACTTGACTGCATTGTTTGTTGTTAGAATAATAATAATTGTTATGCACTCCATTTGAAAAATATTGATCAGTACCAGTAGCTGCGATTGCGGCCATGAGAAATACTTTAGGATGGTTACTCTGCTTTTTGCACAATCAGGATTCCTCATGGCCACGTGTACTCGTACACTTATGGCTTGCAGTCTCGTTTGCACTAAGTCCAGGCCTGGTCTAAACTGGAAAATCGACATTTTCCTAACTGAAAGCAAGACCAGTGTTAAGGTCTCATAACTGACAAACAAGACCTGATTTGTTTTCACTATCATGCACAACAGCTTTCAGACCTGTGCACATGGTCAGCTGAAAAGGCGTACGTCATGCGCGTACGAGACACAGCGAGAGCCGCGTGGTATATAATAACGTAGGCAATGCATAGTTGAGCTCTAGACCTGTGCTTCTAATTCATCGGTGGAGAACGTTTCCTCGACCATTTTTTCTCATTGCAATTGGATTTTCTGGTAAGCTCGATTGCATTAGCCATCTTTCAATACATTACCTGGAAATGCAGTGAATTTCACAATTACGCTAGGATTACCGACGATTTGAATAATACAGTGCATCAACGTTACTGCTACATTTCTGCATATTTTCTGCAGTGCGGACTGGTTGGTTTAGTCGCTGCGTATCTTCAAATGATACTAACCGAAAATGTTGCATAACTTAGCATTTGCTACAATGTATTTTTGCTAAGCATGAGTTTCAGTGTTTTCTATACTTAATAATTGCAATTGAATTCAGAAGAAGTAATTTTATTGTTGTACTTCTATTCAAAGAATTGGTAACGATGCCTTATTCATCGCGCGACGGAGATCGCCCACAGTGGAACGGAAGAGATGTCGACAGAAGAAGCGATTATTCTAGAGAGGATGATAGACCCCCTCGGTATAACAAATTTGCTTCAGAAAATCGCTTTAATGATCGAGACAATTTTCGCCCAAGGAGACCTGGTATGCCTTCCAATAATGGTAGACCTATGCGTGGTCGAAACGGCAACGATAGGCGATTTGATCCAAGAAGTCAGCGTGGTGGGCGCCGTCAAGACGGCAATGGCAGACCTCGGGATGCTCGGCCACGTGAATATTACGTCAACCGATTTGTCATTTTCTGCAATGCAGCTGATCCTGATGAGAAACTTAGCGTTATACCCTACGAAGGCAATCATAACGAAGTCTACGACAACCAAGACAAAGTCTACATTCATGAACCTGCATTTGATAGAAAGCTCAATTATGCTGATTTGATGGCTGCCCTTTCCTACTGTATGAAGCGCACGGTGCAAACTTACAAAGCCGACCGACATGGCGAGTTATTTTTCATTGCAAGATACGGGAAAATCTTTTACACCAATGTCAATCAAGATCGTGACCGTTCAAAATGGACCGTTGCATCATTTATGAACAGCGTCAACACGCACAATTGGCCATTCGCTCAGGAATTGGAAACTAAAAGTGAAGCGAACCAACCAGATATTAGGCATTCGTTTTATCCTGTTAATGAAAATGTTCAACCTTCCGACTTTGAACGGGCGCTAGAACGAAAGAAATTTCAGAAGATTGATACCACGGAAGAATACTATGTTAGCTACGTATTAGAGGACAAAGAACGCGATAAACGGCGCAACGTCTTTATCTGCTATGATCAACACTTGAAATTCAAACGTATTCGTGTTCCGACTATCAAATGGTGCGATATCGATATCAGTCGCGACGATAACGTCGACTTAAGAATTAGCTTCAGAAGTGAAAGAGTATTAGAAAGGCGAGATCTGAACATGGATGATCGACTGGTTCAATCGTTGAAAGAGATTCCTTTGATGGATTTGATTACTTTTGACAAGAAGAATAACCTACAGGTATTGCAAGATAGGGAGAATGTGCAGTTGGTTAGACACAAGATCACCCATGCTTACATCATAACTCGCGAATTTTGCCAAAGCCGAAATTTAGAACCCTTTTGGCATTATTTAACGGTGAACTGTACTGAAGTTACAGAGTACTCGCGCTTGGATAAAAATATTGGAGCATTCAAAACGGTTGAATCGAAGTGTGAAATAACTGCGACGGTCGATCATGTTGGTAAACTAAAGATTCATAAAGAAGATAAGCTTGCTGAAGTTGTGAAAGCAATGCTAAAATTTTGGGGGCAACAATTGCCAGCCACCTTTAAGAATTAAGACAACATCGAAATATCCAATTTTTTCCACTTCGTAGATGATCACTTTTACTTTATTCGTTTATGAATTGCTTACGCGGTCTTTGTCTGTTCCTGGTAATTCATTGATTACACGGGTCGTTTGTTGGTAGTTTCAAATATTATTTTAAGCCGTTCTTGATGTGGTAAATTTGGAGTATTTAATTTTTAAGAAGATAGAAATGCGGTAACTGAACTAGCTTATAGGATACAATTTTTTGTTATCTGACTTCATTTCGGTTGGCTTATTTCGATAGTATTAAGTTTAGAATTGATGAATGAATATGGCCTATTCAATACCCGTACATCTGTAGAGTTTCACATGTGCAGTCGAATATATCGACGTTTTAGTATGGTTGTGTTCCTTCGAGTTTCTGTGCGCCACTGCATTACAGTAGGTTATAGGGCTTATTGCATTTTGTACAAGTCATCAGTCCGGATGTAAAATTAAAAATAAAAAGTATCGTATATTGGAATGTCCATGTGATAGAGGAGTTACTATGCTCAAAAGGAAAGTTCTAATCATTACAGCAAAACAGGACTTCGTAAACGGAATTCACTGAAACCTGAAGATTGAGATAGAGTACTAATAAATCAATCAGTGACTCAGCAGAACGTTTCAACTTGTCCCATGAAGAAAGTGCAAGTTGTGATGAGTAAAAAAGGGACTAGTGTTGTGCAGATTAACGCTAAAAACTTGCAACTGGCGTTTGTGCAAGTTGCTGGCTATGCCATATCTACAAGTGTGCCAATGCCATACGTGTGCACAAGACATTTTTCAATTTTGAACGCAGACGCTAAAATGCAATTCCATCTAAAGAAAGTAATCCAAAGTTTATATACATGAAATCCGTCAATTTAGATCCTAAATTAACTTTATAGGTCTATACGGATGATTAGCGTAAAATTTCATGGAATGAAAAGTAATTGACTGAAAGTGTGCCAATACCATACGTGTGCACAAGACATTTTTTCAATTTTGAACGCAGACGCTAAAATGCAATTCCATCTAAAGAAAGTAATCCAAAGTTTATATACATGAAATCCGTCAATTTAGATCCTAAATTAACTTTATAGGTCTTCTATACGGATGATTAGCGTAAAATTTCATGGAATGAAAAGTAATTGACTGAAAGTGTGCCAATACCATACGTGTACACAAGACATTTTTTCAATTTTGAACGCAGACGCTAAAATGCAATTCCATCTAAAGAAAGTAATCCTAAGTTTATATACATGAAATCCGTCAATTTAGATCCTAAATTAAGTTTATAGGTCTGTCTATACAGATGATTAGCGTAAAATATCATGGAATGAAAAGTAATTGACTGAAAGTTGAAAATTTATTTTTGGTTTTCATATCCAGTACAGCATCAACCATTGCGGTCTTCAACGGATACAGTATGGTACGGTACTGAGCGTCAGGGGGTCGGGTTGGGTCCATGTTGAATATTGAACGATACAAAGGCGTGTTGGTCTAAAGAGCGTTTACAGTTAGTATACTGTCCTGTACTATACCTTACAGCATAGAGTACAGTATGGATTGAACACAGTAATCTACCGCATCGATGTCATTCACTAAATTACAATTCTCATCCAGAGCACTCTGGGCCTGTTTTAAAAGCTAGAAACTTGCTCCTTCGTTGTGGTTATATTATAGCATTAAAGTGAAAAGAATGTCTGTACTAGCCGATGCTAACTGTGCAATTTGTCGGCGAAAGTTTGATTCTAACGAAAAAGCGTTTACATCAAGCGGTAAAGTGTATCACGAGCAATGTTTCATGTAAGTTGAGCACTATTCGATGGAGATAGCTCCGGTACTGGATATCATTAGCATACAACATAGTCATTTTTAGCCCTACCTGCAATACAACGAGTTACGGTAAAAGGATTGATGCAATGGCATAATTGCCACAACTCTAGTGCATCAATACAGAGGATAGAGCCGATAGGGATGATTTCGAAAATTATATTCTCTAGCTATTGATAGCTTTGAAACGTTTCAACAGCATGGAGTACAGTGCAATACGGCAATGGTTGTAAAAAAAATAGTTAATCAGTGCTATCGTACAATATAAACTACTGTATAGATAATTTACATGCTCAGGCATGGAGCCTAGGATACAACAGATTCTTATTTATAAACTGGACTTGTTGAATATTTAGATGCTGCCAGTGCTTGCAACCCTTCCCCGACGGAATCTTCTTTGAAGTAAGTTATTATCTTTCTTCCATGTTGGACAGTCAAAAACGATCCTACCGTACAGTATGCACTAGGATCTTGTCAACAGACTGTATATCGAATAAAACACTTAACAGCATGGTATTTTAACTTGTTTTCGATCTCCAATATGATTTATCCAACATGGGTACGAAATACAGCATGAAGGCAGAAAATACTGCGATTACGATTTCCGTATCCTTTTCGCTCCAGTATGTGGCGATTGTGGTAAGTAGATTTGTTGGCTAATCACTCTTTGCCTTTTCTACAGTTATTTTATCTCATAACACTACTATACATAATGTAACAAGCCTATATAGACTGTTTTATGGGTATAATTGTATCCTGTAACAACACTGATTGTGCCAGTTCGAACATGGCATTCGTATAGCTATGCCAAATGTGCAGATAGTAAATACTGATAATACGTTTACCTATGATACTGTATTATACATGGAAACAACTACAGTACTGGATATGAAAGTTGAAGAAATGTCTAAACATATTGTACTACTATTCAGAATCCATAACGATTCCATCGGCTTCTTGATTGATTTAAACAACATTTCTGATAATATATAATCCTTATAGGAGAGTTTATTTCTGGACGTGTTATTAAAGCTTTATCTCGAAATTGGCATCCTCAATGTTTCCGTTGCGAGATATGTAAGACCTCATTAGCAGACAGTGGATTTGTCAAAAGTGGAAATAGGTTAGCTGGTAACTATGAAACGGCATTTACAATATCCACCTAGATAGCAAGGACTACCTATCCCCTTTCTCTAACAATTGCATAAATTACGTGTAATAGAGCTTTATGTCGAAAGTGTAACGCCGAAGAAAAGCAAAGAAAGTTAAATATGACTATCTGTAAGGAATGCAAGTAGGTTCAATGTTAATATCAATCGCAATATCTAAATTACGGTATCAATTTTTTATTGCTAATCCACTATTTTATTATTTCTATCATAGTGGCATTATCGAAGGAAGTGATTTTATAACCATTAATGGACAGAAGGCTCACATTTTTCATTTTGACTGCTATGTGTGCGGGTGAGCTTTTGAGTTAAACCGAATTAGTTTATCATATTTTAGCCAGAAGAACTGAATAACCAAAACAGTTTAATATTGCTAACGAATTTGGTATGGATACAGTGCAAAACACAGTTTTATGGATGTACTTCGAGGACGATATACTATATGCTTTAACTAGATTACTTATTAATAAGTATATCGTATTATTATTCTTTGTAAGAAAATAGGCCTATTCATTTACATTGACGTAGATCTCGTATCATTTACTATTTCCATTAAAACTACATATCAAAATTTTTAACATGATAAACTAAGTGTAAGTTTGAGTTCATTGAATAACTTCTCTTAATCAATAGGAAACCGCTAACATCTCATGGTTTTGAAAAAGATGGGAAAACATACTGTTTACGCTGTTACGACAAAATGGGAGTACCAATTTGTGCGGCTTGCAAGTATGTTGACTGTATTCTATCGTCATTTTTCAGTAACATTGTACGCACGCAAAGTTATGTACCATCATAAACTCATTTGACCTACAGAATATTACTATACTGTAACTAAGATCAATTAAAATTTTTATTATCGTCTAGACGACCAATTACTGATGTACATATTGTTGCGGCATTGGGGAAGAGCTGGCATGCTGATGTAATTTAGCATTTGATAAATAATGTAAAATAACTTCCGTAAGTGGCACGAACGTCATTAAAGGATGCAATAATTTCTTTCGTATTAAGCATTTCGCGTGTGCCAAATGTGAAAAGCCATTCCATGGGCGGCCACATTATGAACATAATGGATTAGCTTATTGCGAAACTCATTATAATCAGGTGATCGATATCACATTTATTAGAATGATTATGAAAGTTAATTTCACAGAATATTTTGAATGTTAAAGTGAATCGTAAATAAGGTCATTAATTCAGAATCTACAAATTTATGATAGTTATTTGGAGAAATATGCTTCTATTGCAACCAAGCCATAAAGTCTGACAGTATGTAATGTATACTAGAGTTTTCCACAATGAGAGTTAATTATCCTTAATCTTATTGCATAAAGTACATACAGCATATCTATTTTTCGGGCGTTTATCTGTAATTCCTCATTAGTTGGCATCAAATATCGGCGACCTGATTTAGAGCTGCTGTAAATAATTATCTTTCTTATAGAAATGATACGAGCTTTTCGCAAACATTGGTGCGAAGATCACTTTCGGTGTAGTTCTTGCGGAAGTCAGTTAACGCTCAAGTCAGTATTTAATCTGTATCATGTTGTTGCAGATACTAATCTAATTTTCTAGAGAAGTTACAATTTAATATTTTATACTGAATTTATTGCAGGAGTAAATTCTTTGAGCTCGATTTACGTCCTCTATGTAAAAAATGCTACGATCGTTTTCCTAGCAAGTTAAGAAAACACCTGAAAACCAGAATGGGAAAGTCTGGAAATTAAACCGAATGCTAGTAATGTTTAAATGTTTACGGAGTCTATAAGTATGTTTGAATACAGCTATATGACCACTAACAATCTAAGTTAATTTGAACTCCATCGAAATTTTGAAAAATTTATCACACATCAAACATGTACCAAATGAATTTTATTAATTGATTACGATATATCATTAAAAGGATTAGTGTTTTTATGCGTTTTATCCTAGTACAATGCATTTTGATTTTTATATTGCTAATACCATGATTTACAGTTGACGTTCAATGATCTGAACTGTGCCAACTAGCATAAATTTGCTAGCATGCATCTAGGTGTAAGCGAGAAAATAGCAAGCTAACAAAGAAATTAATCATTCCTTAAACATTGATTATTACATTGGCATGCAATGCTGAGATCAAATAATTTTATGGACTATTATTCTATTTCTAAAATCACATCATTCTCTCCTACAGAATCGCCAGGTGTAAAGTAAACTTTCTTTACCTATTAAATAAAATGGATCTAAATTAAAAGCTTGTATTAACAAGAAAATTGCAAAAGTGGAATCTATCTATCAATAAACCAATTTTATTATTATTCTTTTAGACTTTTACCTTTCCTGTCTTCCCTGCAAATAGACTATTTTGCATTTTCATTGCTTCTATTACGGCCAGCTCATCACCTTCACTAACCTGTATCAAAATGAAATATAGGTAATTTTATCTAACTGTTACGCTTGGTAAAAAGGCTAGCGTTGACAGACCTCTTGACCAACTTCACATGAAAGGGAAAAAAGAACACCAGGCATAGGTGAAGCTAAAAATGGGCTAAGATCAACTTTAGGCTTTTCAGGCATAAGGTGGACATAGTCAGCCTGTTTTCGGCTACGAACTGTAGGGCTGAACTGTACAGATCAAATAAAGATTAATCATTTTCAAAAAAATATAAACTATTTTATAGTGTATCATGACTTCGACTTATCAATATTTACATACCACAGTGCCACAATGCTGAATTCTTATATCGTGTTGCTTATGAGAAATTGTCTATAAATAAATATAAAAATATCTTCAACTTACTTAATGCGTAAAATTATGGTTAGTGATAAAATGAATAAGCGAAATGCCGTAATAATTTGAATAGTAAATTTTTAGCCAGTAAGGCATGAATAAAAATACATTGTATGCTGTAGAGTAAATTTTCAGCTTCATTCGTTCAGTGATAAATAGAATCGTCTATCTGATAAAGGGTATAATACGTGCAAAGGGCACGTTACGTACTTGCATTGTAACTTTGTTGCCGTTAATATCCGCCTCCAGTACAGGGGAAGAAAATGACGATTGGCTACTCATCGAAACCTTGCTTCCATTTATATCAAGCTATAAAAGAGCGAAGAATACGCATTAGAAAGGATTTCGAAGCACTTGCATGCCTCTACTAGTAGTCACATACAATAAGATTGTTCTTATCAAATCGGGCGGTAACATTATATTCCTTATCTTCTACGCTTATTACAAGATCCCAAGACGTTGGCTGTACAGCTCTATAAATTTGACTAAAAAATTATGAAAAAGTTAAGGTATTTATAACTATACGGATAGTATCTACCGCCTGTATTTAATTTAGCTTTCCATAATGCGATAATCGCTTCATTAGTACATAATATAGGTAACTGTTCGCAAACTTGAACCAATAAATAGCGATTTCCAACACGAAATTGTAAACCCTTTACCTTTTAGAGTATAAAAAGTCTTGTGATTGCAATAGCTTCTTGAGATATATATAGCATGCCCCGGCAATTAGCTCGTTTTGTTGTGTTCCGTTAAGAGTTGTACCAGAGAAGCCATCCGGATACTTTTCATATAAAAATTTCGTAGTGATATTACCTTTTATAAAATCCTGGTTTCTTAGTACATCACGCAATAATGAAACATTGTGGTTGACACCTGGAAAAAGTAATCTGGAGTGAGCAAGAATTAGTCATAGCATGTTAATAGAATCTCCTACCTCGAATAACGTAAGAATCTAAGGCATCCTTCATATTACTAAGAGCATCAGTCCGGTCTTTACCATGTGTTACAAGCTATGTAGATAAAATATGATATTACTAACTCCTAAAAGGAAACACACACATAACTTCTTCACTACACATGTACCTTGCAAATCATCGGATCATAATAAACGCTAATTTCACTACCTTCTACTACACCAGTATCTACCCGCACCTTTAAAACGGAGTATAGGATTACAATGTGGCTATCAAAAAATACGTAAATAAGGATCCTAACACATTTTTAACATAATTTAAGCAGCTTACTCCAGGCACATGTAGAGGTTCCTTGTATTGTCTTAAACGGCCAGTCGATGGCAATCCAAAAGACTTGTAAGGATCCTTTAGAAGTCAAGAATTATGAAAAAGTTCATACTCAAAATTGTAATCAAAATTTATGCCAATAGTCGTAACAAACTTTGTTTTTAAGAGTCTACCTCAGCGTAAACACGGCACTCAACGGCCCATCCATCAATGGGAATATCTGATTGTTTAAAAGGTAGCTTATATCCTATAAAGATAAAGGTCACAGTATCAATAATTGTCATTATTATTGGTAGAATGATGGAATAGAATTACCGGCTGCGACTCTAATCATTTCGCGAACCAAATCAACTCTAGTAATGCATTCAGTGATTGGATGTTCAACCTTCATTAAAAATGAGATTAATAAAATGTTAAGATGGCGTTCTCAATTTACGTCAAAATAACAATATTTACGTTGTATAATAATTATATATCAAAACATAATCTTTATCTTCAACATAAAGTGAGTGACACTAGACTTGAACCAACCTGTAATCGAGTATTCATTTCCAGGAAATAGAAGTTTCTCTTGGAATCGACTAAGAATTCAACAGTACCTGAAGACATGCACGTGAACACATTATGAGTAAAATCATCCAGAAATACATGGACACTTTTCATTACAAATAAATGTAAATTTTCAAATAGCTGCTAAACAATCTATAAGATATATTGACATACCTGCAGAGAAATAGCCGACAGCACTCGCTAGGGCTAGGGCTTGCTCTCCCATAGCAGCTCGAGTTTCTGGATTTAAAAAAGTACTATAACAACTAATGTTAGTTTCATAAACTACCGTGGATAGCATAGAAACTCGCTTAAAGATAAACCGAAGGAATACCTTGGAGCCTCTTCAATAACCTTCTGATTTCTTCTTTGAATTGAGCACTCTCGTTCGTTCAAAAATACCTATCCGAAATTTTATTTAACTAAAAGTGATACACTACTCAGTTTATTGGTATTAATTCCAATACTTACGCCATTTCCATGTTGATCAAGTAGTACCTAGAAATTGAACATGATTGCAGCTAGGTAAATAATGCAGGAATAAATTGGATTGACATAAAGTAATATAAAACGAAAGACTCACTTGAAGTTCTATATGCCTAGGGTTATCGATGAATTTCTCTATAAGAAGACGATCGTCGCCAAAACTAGAAGCAGCTTCTTGAGATGAAAATCGAAATCCTTCCCTGAAAACAATAGATGGAGTTTACGTGCTATAAGATCGAAATGTACAAGAAATAAAAATCGTTTTCAACTATTGCAGGATAGAGGGTTGAGCAAGTACCTTGCCTCTTCATCATTCCATGCAATTCTCATTCCTTTACCACCACCACCAGCCGAAGCCTTGATCATTACGGGATAACCTTTCGTTCAAATTAAAATCGTAATATTGCTAAGACATACATCAACACGCAAATGCTAACTATATCAGTATGACCATATTCATCCAAATTTAGCTGGATATCAGCGGAAGAAACTTCTTACCTATATCATTAGCTATTTTGACAGCTTCATCTGCATCCTTAGATGATAATAGAAAAGTTAAGAAGAATAAACTTTTTTAATTATATCATCTAAATTATAAAAATCTAATTGAAATATATTTCTTCCTATTTTTATTTACCTTTACAACACCATCAAATCCAGGAATTGTGTTGACTTTGGCATTCTTAGCAAGCAATTTACTCTCTATCTTATCTCCCATCGCCTCGATCGCCTTTGCAGGCGGTCCAATAAAAGTAACACCATTATCTTTCTGTATAATTAATAGTTATAAATTAGTATAAGTCTTTTTGACGTCGTTTCCGGAGATTAGTGATCCCTAGTAAATAAACGATATTTCTGATACTATTCGACAAAACTATTACCAATGCCTTTGCAAATTCTCGATTCTCTGACAAAAATCCGTAACCAGGATGAACCTAACGTGTATTTAAACTTTTACTTTTCTCTCTCGAATTGAGCATAACACTTGTTCAAAATACCCCCAAAAGGAAATCTGGCTAAGTATTACTTACTGCTTGAGCTCCAGTAGCTTTAACTGCATCCAGGATACGATCCATTCTGAGATAACTATCCCTACTTGGAGCCTCGCCTACACAGACTGCTTCATCAGCCATTCTAACGTGTAGCTATGCATCATACACAATAAACGTAAGCAAACAGTAAGAAACAATTATGTATGAATTATGGAACATTTAACTATCCAACTTGTTAATCCTATAAACTAGGTACGGATACTTCAATATAGTTATTAATACAATAGAAAGAAATTTAATAGCAGCTAAGTAGAAAATCATTCGGTATCCTTGACTGACTCCAAAATAGTCATCTAACTAAGAAGCAGTATAAAAGACTATTTGTAGTTATATGCAAGTTATTTGCAACGATGTCTAGACTCTACCATACTTCAATAACACTATAATCAGAATAATTACTAAGTACAGTATCTCTCTTCCGTTTATCATTGAGAGATTTACAAGGTACAGTAGATAGTGCTAGAAATAACTTGAAAAATTGGCAGTAATTATATTAATCATTGTTTAAAGTTGCAATTCTTACAGCGTTGCTATCGACGTCACTATGGACTGCAACAGATTTGATGCCCATTTTCTTACAACTTTTAATTACCTAGATACGAGATCAAAAATCAATCATTATCATGTCAAAATAACTCTAGATAGCAAGAGCACACGGATTAAACCGATTAGCAGGCAATGCACAGGAGTAGAGTACCATAGTTCTTAATATAGTATAGTTGAACATTTAGCGGTATCAATCAATCCCATGAATGTGTTAATATCGATTACTGTAACATAGAATCTACTGTAAAGTTAAAAAATAAACATACGAGTATACGATGTCAGAAAGTACTTGAAGATCGAATATCATGTCAAGGGCTAGCTCGTTGGCAAACGAAAAAAGCCAGTACAGTATATTTTTATCCATTGGACAGTCAACGATCGATATTTAATCGTTGTAAGTAAAGGCAATCTTAGTACTTACTAGGTTTACTAGGGAGATTAATTATCGCTTTACTGTAGTATTCCATTACGCTTTTAATAATAACAGTCACTATCAACGATACGATTGGAAATATACGACTACTACACCATGTTGTACTTCAGTTCGACGCTTGTACTGGTGAACAAAGTAGCTACAGTTTGTTTTTGTAAAACACTTACACGGCACGCAATTTCTCCACGGTTTGCGATCAAGATCTTGTCAAATGTCTATAATTCAATGCACCATTTATTATTTTAACTTATTTTGAAGTCAATCTCTTCATTTTAATCTTATATTTTCCCCTCTTTACCTTCTCATTGCTCTGATCTCCTTGCTGGGACTGATAACTGCGTTGTTGAATAACAGTTGTGGAAGCTAGTGGCTAGTAAAGTCAAGGATACAAGAGAAATGATTACTTTGACTTGTATATCTAGTTATCGAAAGGAGAAAGAATCGAAATCTGCCTACTTTAGTCCAGTGTAATGGCGATAACTGCAGCGATCGCTGCAAAAATGGTTTTAGACCAAAACTTCGTTGCAAGCCAGACATGGCAGCAGCAGCTCTTGTGATTAGTATGTCCGAACTGAGCAAGATGACTGGTAGCCTAACGACAGTATAGTACATCGATGCGGTATTGTAGGCTGTATACGCATGATAGTAGCGTATCTACTGTAGGTCACCAGTACGGAGCGAGTAGAGAAAGCTCCAGACTGAGGAGAGGACGTCGGCTCGAGGCTGGAGAGGTAGCACACATCTGTTGCCGTTGGATGCTCATCGCCATATTCCTTTAGCCTAGAAAGCTAAGGAAAATAGTCACAAAAAGACTTAAAACATCGATCTATACGGTCAAGGACTTGTAAGATTGCATCGTTACAAGTCCTTAATACGGTATGATTGTCATCAAAGACTAGAAATGGCCCATATTCCTTGGTGTAATGCATTTGCGTTGATGGAGCGTTTACGACTTCTTGCTACACATCGGTTGCATGCAGTAGTGAATCCTGTAAATCCTCCATTTCGCTTTGCTTGCTGCATAGTACAAATAGCAAAGTGGATTTTGTAACAGGGTTTTATCCAATATTAACAGTAAAAAGTACCCAATAACATTTCATTCCTTCGTTGATCGTCTCTGTATCTCGCCTTTTTAGCTAGAATTGCATCAGAAGTTGTTGCTTACATACGTTGCTGTAGACTCTATGTTAGCACATTCTTTCCACTCGTTGCTTACTGTATACTCTTGAATCGATCACTACAGCTTTAACAGCAGCCTCAACGGAGCTACATGTTGCTATTTACGAGTACACCAAGTATCAATCTCTGATAGACTACATTACTATGATAAGAAAATGCTTACATCCACTATGGAAATAGATCCTCAATCAATTGGTAATATGCTAGATTACTATTGCATCAACAGCAGCTTTCATTGAGAAAATGAAGTATTATCATCATATAATCAATATTCTCTATATTGATATGCTATACACTAGATCAGTAATCAATGCATCAATATCTATTTTGATTGAAAAACAAAGATAACTATCATATAGTCTATATTCTCTATACTGATATGCTATACACTAGATCAGTAATTAATGCATCAATATCTATTTTGATTGAACAACAAAGATAACTATCATATAGTCTATATTCTCTATATTAATACGTTATATTCTAGATCAATGGAGCGATATCTGTTGTGATTGAGAAAATTGTGGATATTTTTGATACTGTACTCTCTTTCTTTTTAAAGCAAGCCTCAATAAATTGCATATTGTAGATACTACTAAGTCAACGTCTATTCTAATTGAGAAATAAGCTTACAACTAAGACACTCTGCTCTATTGGACTAATATGTCTAATTCTCTCTCAACATGCGAAAAGAAGTTGAATCCTACTACCAGTGAATACATATTGAGATGGAAGCTGTAAAGTATTCCATAGCAGCTACCCTTTTCTTCCGTAGACACGCATACTTACATCGGAAGTAGCTTAGTTTATATGATATATGATCATAATAAGGTGATACAGTATTAAGACTACTAGATTGCATCTTATACAACCCCCCAACTTTCCTACTACGAAATAAAATTATCATTTCATTCTCACTCCCGATCTTCTCTTGTATTTGTACAAATACGTATAAAACTATTACAGTGTCTATTTAATACTTTCTGCCATAAGTATTCAAGCATAATCATTATCCTTCATGGGAAAATGATGATAAACAAAGTTGCCATATTAATTTGCCAGTCTCAGCCGCAACTAATACTACGATAAACACAGTATCACTATAATCAAATCTATCAAGCAGAAATAAAATTTTCCAGCATTCACATCGTGTAACGTTTAGAATCGGTTCTAATATTAAAACTCAAAGCTTCATTTTTATAGCATTTACTGCAATAAAGACATATGTAAACAAAACAAAATTAAAATAAATAAATATGCACAGCCTAGAGTTAAAAATCTATGAACAGTCGATAGAAATACGGACGCTGGACTGCTACACAGAACCCTGTTTACGTTGCCGTTATTCAATTAGTAAACTGGGATGCATAGTTAGTAAGTATTGCATGACTTTAGATAGTCTTTCATCTTTCTCATTATTATTTAGCCCAGACTACTATGAATATTAAATTGTACCTGTGATCAATATAATAATCTACCTACACTGTTAGTATGCCAAAATAGTAGGTATTAATGCAAATAATTCAAGTGTGGTAAGCACCTTAAATTCCCTTTCTAAAATAGAAGTGGGGGCCCAACGCATTCCTCCTAACGATTCAACTCTATGTTACCATATTATCTGGATTATTTGCATATAATCATAACTCAGTCCTCTTTTCTATAACTGCACATATAATAACTTCTTACAAGAATGCTCGAATAATAATTCTATACTGTCATTATTCCTGATTAAGCAATAGTAAATTAAACAGAAAATAATAAACCGTTCGGTATATTTTGTCATGTATGAACACCTCTTTATTGAGCTACTTAAGAATTAAAGTAATATCCAACTTATTGCATCCAACTCCATGCTGCAAAAAGAATATCCATCTTATATATGCTTTCTCTTAATACATATTATGTTAAGCTACTGTGCTGAATCTTAATATGACGGTAGTACTATGTATTAAATATGTATGGATGCATGTCCAATTAGTTATACCATGGCTATACGATTATCCCTTAATTACATACATTTACTGTATATTTTAATAACTGTATTCCCTGAATACGAGTATATGTAGATTTTAATAACGTTATTCTCTACATATTTGATGATTAATAATGTATTCCCCGAATACCATCAAATTATCAATGAATTGGGATTATAACCGATATCAGCGTTTCGTTTCCCGAAGTAATTATTCATTTACTTACATATGTTAAACGCACAAAAAAATACAAAATTATTTAATCCTCAATAGTTTAATACTTTACATTTTATTTTTCTTTATTGCGATCAAATAAGCATATCGATCCAAAGGGTAGCTTAAGAATATAAACTAGTTTTTTTTTCAAAACCAGGTAATAAAATAGAAAGCTATACATCGCATTACTTATATGGTGAATACTGTAGGTTCATTCCGCTATATACATTATATGTGTTTCGATCACATACGTGAATATCATAGATGCCTTAGCTAATTTAGCCATAATAATATATAAGCATTCAATAGTACATGGTAAATTAATTTAGAATTCAAGATATTTCACAAGAAGGAGACTGTATGTGCATATCATTGCGCTTTAATAATGTGCAAAGTTGATCCAGAGATATTCATAACTATTATTTCGTTGAAAAAGAGAAGGTAAAAAATGCCCAATTATAAAAGATGGACTGTGTTTTGTTATATCTGAGTAATAATTTCTATTTAATAACGAATTTCATATCAGAATGGTGAATGAAGTGTTCGTGAATCATTATTCGAGTTAGCACTTGAAGGAGAAGATTTTAACAACTGTTGCTGAGAAGCCTTAATAGACATTTCTGGACTTGCCGCTGGCGAGATATTGGTCACCTCGGTACCTAAGACACTATCTAATCCTTCATGTAAAGCTTCACAGGTTGACGCTACAGATTTTAAGGTAGCTTCTCGAAATTCTTCATATTTAGTTTGTACCTACAGGGAACCAGTAATATTCCATTAGAAATTAAATCGGAGTAGTCTTATATTATAAATTTACATTTCTAATGAGATTAAAATCAATTTTTTGGCCATTTTATTATATTGTTAAAAGCATTCAGAGAAGTACATTTAACTTATTTACCCTTGAAAGTAATCGAACAGCATCGTCTTTGTCTTGATCGCTTTTTCTCAATAAATTATCTGTAATGAAATTTATGAAATTCCCAATTAAAAAATTCTCTCAGCATACATTTATATTCCGTTGTTGGCAAAAATCTTGTATGAAAAGGCTAAAGGCCCTTTCTTGAAGAGTCGATATAATGAGAATAGTGGTATAACATTGCTTTATAATATTGATCAGCATCCAGGAATTGTGTATCTAGATATTAATACAAATATCTACTAAAAACTACCTTACTAAAGGAGTTACCGTACTTGCACATGTCAAAATTTAATTCTATCAGAATTAAATCACAATGTGTTTCAATATTGTACATAGCAGCTTCTACCGTCTATACTAATAAATACTAAGAAAAATATTTATCCTCAAATTCCCCATAATTGTTCTTTGCTCGTTGTAGCGAATAACTTTCATTACCAGATATGTAATTTACGTTTACAAATTAAGGTACAACTAATTGTGATCGTCTCGTATATACAATATATGTATAATTAATTATGATATCTAATAATATATTACATTGCAATATAGTGCTACAACAGCTTGGCCATGCAAAATTTTACGATCAACTACCCCAAATTGACTATTGTACACTGATCACCATCATTATGCTTTTAAATATACGTGTTAACAAGCTACAGCATATATTACCTAAATTGCCTTCCATCGTGTTTAAATCACCTTGAATTACGGTTAAAGCAGATTGCAACTTATCATTGGTTGTTTTCGATCTTGATGTATTATATCCTAATCTTAGCTAAAGTTAAAAGAAGAAATAATCAGGTTAATTATGATGTAAGGTAGGATCAAACATTACTATCACAGCTTTATCGAAATCTTTAATATAAGAATATCTAATGTTAATCATCAATACTACAGATTTTAACCGGCATGAAATAGGATCATATTAAAGTAAATTCGATATAAAACAGAATTAATATCTTACTTTAGGTTTATAGTAATTTACTGGTTCTTCTTCTTGATAAGTTAAGGGATGATGCAATGCATATTTTAGAGCTCGAACACTGCTTTGCATATCTGAGATTATGGCAAATAAAGCATAAAAATGATTAGTAAATAATTTAATTTCTTATCAAAGTTAAGCATATCATATCAATCAGCAAGTTACCATTCTTCATTATATACGATGTAGTATATGATTTTAGTATAGATATAGCTAGTAATACTGTACCTTTTGGGAAATTATTTTCTGGTTTATCATCATCAAGACCAGAAGCCAATTCCTCAAATCCCTTAAAAATAGAGGAATAACCAAGATCTCAATTAATATAAATTATCTTGAATAGATTATATTATTGGGGTTATTTTTTTGCTCAAGGTTTTCTTTACTTTATATTTCTTTGGCAATTTCTTAGCTACTTCTCTTTGCTTTTCATGTGGAATAATTTCCTCTTTAATATATTGGTCTTCAGCAGTCGATTTTTCTAGTGATGAAGTTAATGGACGATCGAAATCGTTTTGTTGCTATATCAAAAAATTACATGATATATCAATATCTTCACCTAAATAAAAACTATTAATAATTGCATAATGATCCTTTCCAATAGGATAGCACCACTAAATATGAATGTATTTTAATCATGATGATACGTTAAATAGGAGTAATATTAATAATTTGTCACCACTGCCCTTAAACTGAAACACTTAAATAATCGTTTAAATTTTCAATGCCCTTACATTATAAACTAAATTATGATTATAGGATAGAGTAGCTAAAAATATACTGCCATGTTATGATCTACGGATAAAAAATATTCTTATTTATCTTCCATTACTAATCTTAGATTTTATAAAAATTATAATTACATTGAATCAAATTGAAATAATTACTGCAACTAGCATGATACAATATCTGTTATATAGCTATCGACGATTGAAATAAATAAATATTGAATAAATAAGGACTTGCTAATAGAGACTAAGAATCGTCGCTATCTAAAAATTTTAGACAAGAGCCAAATATCGTATCTGCTAATATGTCATAATACCTGAGTTAAAAAGAAATTATTTTCATCATCATTGTCTTCTACTTCATTCATTTTCTCTTGTAAGATTTCATTAGGAATATCATCGATGATTTCAGTGTTACTACTAGGATGATCCGATGAAATAGTATCTTGTGTTGTAGGAAGAGGTTGTGAGAAATTGTAATATGGAGCTTCGATGCTAAGAGGATAGCGACGTTTAGGGATAGGAGGTAAGACATCCTGAACCTGTAATAATTCATTAATTGATAATCTAAATATCTTGAATCTACTACATCATAATAACGTTTTTACATCATATCCATGTACACCCCATAGCTATTCTTTTCTCTTATTGTCATACCTTGCGACGTTGATTGACGATAGGACGAGGTCGATATTTTTTCGATTTCCATTCGTCGTCAACATTGGTCCGAACTACATGAATCCCCCTTGCTTTGACTAACTCTTTTGTTAATAAAGGTGGATTGCCTTTTATTTTAGTCAATAGCGGATTACCATAAATAACAAGTTCTTTAACTTGTGGATACTCAGCCAGTGACAATAAAGCTTCCTCTGTGGCAATCTACATCAAAATAATATTGCTGGTAAAAAGAAGTTCCAACAAATGCCTAAAAAATCGTACCTTAATATTCCATCTATGTATGATACATATATTACTACTCATAATGTCATTGTAGGTCCTTGTAATAAAAAATTAAAGACTATCCTGCATTATTTATTCAACTTACTGAATTATTAGCTACGCTTAATGCTTGCAAGTAGTAAAATGGGAAAGCGGTTTCATCATCAGATAGAGAGCCTAATGGCAATATTATAATTAAACGAAGGGAAGTCAGAAACTCTTCTCAAACAATATATTATAGAAGGGTTTTTAAAATATCGACGATAACTTGTTAGAAAAAGAGTTTACTTACTTGATATAATACTACTGCCTAAAATGCTCTCAACAGTGGGATGTCTTGGTAATTCTGTATGCTCAAAGGTTACATTACTGTCTGCGCGACTTTGAACGCTTTTACTAGAAAGTTTATGAAAATTTTTTAAATTGAAATAGGTTAAAATCATCATATAATATCAATTTTTATGATTTTTATATAGCTGCATCATAACCCTTTAAAACTTCAATAAGTCACGCTCTTTTTAAGAAATACTTTCTCTAATATCTAATAGTTCTATTTCTATTTCGTTAGATTATGCGACTATTCCGGAACAAAAGCTCTCATTAATTAAGAGATACTATCTTTCATGTCTAATAATTATATTTTATGTCGTCGAGTTATACGAGTATCTCAGAATAAAGCTCCTATTGAGAGACACTTTCTTTAATATCTAATGTCTTGTACTTCTATATCATTAAGTTATGTAATTATCTCCAAATACTTTCACTTAAAAACCATTAGGAAATTTAAAAACATCAAAAGCTAGGTTAATAATGCCAATCGGTTGTAGTAATTTCTATTAATCTTCCTACTATTGCTGTTCCTATTCATTTATTCCACTGTATGTAATATACAACTAAAGCTGTTCTCTACAAATTCTTGTGATCGAAATAATTTCTTACGATAATTAACAAATAACTATATCGACTATCTTAGTATATCGACTTACATCTCGTCATCATCGATTTTTCTTCCTTCTGAAATAATATTCGATCTAGTATATAATTAAATTATAAAATAAGTTAATGCTAGATAGATATTACCATAACTGAACAATTCGAAAAAGGAATAATGTCTCTTAAAATTATACGAGAAGGAATCATACCTTTCACTACCAGCAGATATTGGAGCTACACTTCTACGTTTGCTTGGATTGGTAGTGCCCGATGATATTCTCATTTTTAACAGTAAGGATATCGATGGAACGCAAGTAATTTCATTGTTATCCAAATTTAGGTATCTTAGACTGAATTTACAATAATTTAAATATAATCAGAGGTATAATATAACGCGATGGTCATAAGATCATAACACTACTTTATTCAAACACTTAGGTACTAATATCTTATATCAATTTCTACTTGGAAAGTTCTAACTTTCATTTGCAATATAGAATTATTCAATTTTGTACTTTTTTCAGTTCAAATAATATGAAGGCCTCAAAAATGACAATAATTCGTTAAAAATATATCCAATATCTTCTTGAAATGATATTGATATTGATATGAGTACATAGCCTTCTATATCTCATTCCTTATTCGAAAATCTAGTTTATGTAATAAAATTATACATCTCTCGGCAAATTGAATAAATACTACTGTATACAGGATAGAACCTTGTTTTCCATAACATCGTTAATATTTTTTCTTTACATAGTATCGATAGATCTTACTTTTTAAGTCCTGCTATCGGAAGGAAGCACGTCTCCGTTAATTGATTGCTATCCAAATATAAATATTCTAACGACGGATATAGTGGTTTATGCTTTTCTTTCTCTTTCACATTGTCGGAGTGACTATAATGAAGAAAGAACATAAATAAAAGTTATCACTATCTTTCATAGTTTCAATTTACGTACTATATTATTTTATATATTCGTACAGCAGTATTAAGATAACTATCGCATCTACGGTTATTATTATGATTATTTTACCTTGGCGTTGATGTGGCAGAAAGCTCTAATGGTAAACTACCTAAATCATTCCCTAATAGAGATTAAAATTTATATTCTAATTAGTAAATCAGACCATAAGATCAAGCAATTTTAAGATTTGCCAGAGGCTAAATAAAATCATCATGTAGACTCTTTAAAGTACCTGTTAATTTTAATAATCTCAATTGCGGTAACGTTCCTAAATTCAGTATATCATTTTTATTTAAGCAGTTATAGGATAAATCCAATGCCTAATGAACGATATTCAAATTATCATGATCATGTGAGACAATAGCACGATCGATTATTTTTGATCAAATCACAATCTAAAACTGAATACGTTATTCAACTGACATGTAATTTGGTAAATTCGCCAGTATTAATCGATATGTCCGACAAATCATTCAATTGCATCTCCAATTCTCTTAATTCTGGAAATGTTTTCAATTTTTCTAAAATGAATATGTAAAATATAGATTAGGAAGAATAAAGATATTCTGCTGTACACGATTTTGCCAGAGATAACATTCGACATAACTTATATATATAAGACTATCGTATTTATATCTAAATACCTATAGGTAATTCATTCTCTCCAGCATTAATGTGAACGACGTTATCAAACAGAGCTAAATCTTCCGAATTTACCTATATGTCATAATTTTGTACGTCTGATTTAGTAGATAATAAATTATTGATATTATCTTCAAGTTAAAAATTACAATTCTTGAGTCTAAGATTATCACAAATAAGATTGAAATAACTTAATATAGTTTTAATTTAAAACATACCCCAGGGTATACTTACATCTGTTAATTGACAACCGCTGATGTTAATAGAACACAAATCAGATGGATCTTCAACTCCACAATGTTTTAGCTAAATGATGATCAAAAACAGAAACGATTTAACAAAATGTAGACAACTAATTTATGCGATTTAAAGGGGGTGATTTACCAGGAAGAAACCATCCAGAACCTTGAGTGGACTATTCTTCACAGCTGGTGTATTCTTTGGATTTTTGATAATTTCTCCGCGATTATTGGATAACGTTCTTCCTTCCTCTTTCTTTTCGCCTTTCTCCGCACATAGAATAGCTTTAAAATGGTTTTGCTGAGCTATATTATAAGCAATTAACCAAGCACCCCCTATGCAATCGATATCAATAATTATAATCAGAGAGGTGATATTGATTAAATTGCAGCCAATAACATGATAGATTGCAGTCAAGTTTACAAACACAAACACTAATAACCCACTTTCTTATCTTTAAGGTTTAGCCGTAATTAGGTAATGCTAGTAAACATCTTACACATGATAATATAACTAACAGAAATTAATAATGAGTGTAGAATTCTCAGATTATTAAAGAGTAAAAGTTTTGTTAAAATGGATACTAGTTGAAGGTAGTAGAAAATAATGATTCTTTAATATTTTATCATATCAGAATTCATATACTTATTATCCGCAGAAATATTGAAAGAGTAGTCATATACTTCTCAACAAAGAGCTACTTTTTATGGTTTATATTGGTATGATAATTATTTCAGTCTTAATTAAGCATATTTAGATCACTAGTAGCATATTAAGTAATCTGATGATAGTATGTGGAATAGATTTGTGCACTAAAACTCTTAATCAAATAGATACTTATTAAGAGTGGAAATAACTACAGTATCCGGTTGGGTTAGCGCAGAAAGCTAAGCCACAATCAGTGACTCGTATTATTACACAGAAATATCATTGCACTTACTATGATGCTTGTAAATCGAAATATTTTATCAAACAGTCACTAGTTCAAACGCAAACGCAATCAGTTTCAAGAATGATTGCCGTGCATATCAAGGCCATTTATATTATTGATATTGCAAGACTAGACCAATAATGTCGACATTAAAATGCTAGGAAGTCATGTGAAATAATGTTTGGTTATTTAAGTTTCTAATAAGTAGGCTTCAACTGAAAGTTTGAAGTGCTAGATTTAGGGTTGGCTTCTTTATCCAGAACATTGCTGTTAGCATTAAAATATTGAGACGTTATATGTAGACGGAAATATACGTAGCTGATTTTAGGATTAATTAAACATCTTGATCAAATAATATTGACACGATAGTAGGAAATAAAGATATAGAAGAGCGTTTACTAGCTGAAATTATATGTAAATTCCTACTTTATAAGTATAAATATGGTAGACATATCGTAGTCATTAAGTTAATCATTTATTACTAGTTGGACGATGTCTATGAGTAATGTCTAACATGAAAAAAATTCTGTATGTAAAGAGATTTTATTTGATACCCATGAATAGACTACCCAATGCCTACCATACCGAATCTATCCGTGTATAACAAAATTTTAACGTTTTAAAATATTAAGTAATCTCTATTTAATCATTTTAACTTACCACTGCCGGTCTTGCTACCAAGCTTTCTATAATGCCGAATTGGGAAAGCATTAGTTATGTTGGAGATAGGAATATCGTTAATATTAGCCATAGATGATCGATTTACTACAAACTAAATAATTCTATCTAAACTTTTCAATTTTCCAATTTAGTCAAAATAGACTTTGACAGTATTAATAAGATGAAGTATATATGGTACAGATCACTTTGAAACGGAATTACTGAAATTATATGGTAAGATTATATTGATCGTATATGAAATGAATTTCATCTGTCATCAAACATATATTATAGATGGAGATGTTGACTAATACATAACTCAATTTTACAACTTATTGTGCTCTAATCAAACTGAAGCAGGATCAATAGAATGCTAAGTGTCCTTAGTTATATATATTAAACAGGATTGAATAAAATTGAACCTAATGAAGAGAATGATGACTGTTACTATGGCAACAATAACATTAATCTACAATAGATATGCTTATCTGTCGGCCTATGGCCTGCTATAGACTAGTATGGATAAAAGACAAGAATGCTTCGCTAGAGTCTATTACTATCAGAATACGATCTATTAAATGGTATTTATACCTGAAAAGGGGTATACAACCAGTATTTATATATCAATCAGCGATAATATTATAGTTTGTAAACTAATACTCTTTGCTTACTGATGAGCTAATTCTTAATTTTAAGCTACTGTTGATTTATAATTTAGAAATATCTCTGCCTATTGAGTAAATAAGATTAGTGATGAATCATTAAAAGGCGCTCACAAAATTAATTGCCATGCAAATATAATACATCAGGTCTTGCAGCAGATAATTGATCGATTAAAAAGAAACTATGATAAGTAGGAGGAAAGTCAAAAAGAAAAGGATCAGGAAAAATGCTTTAAATGGCAACAAGCCGGAACCATCTGTAAACTTAGGTAATTTGCTGACTACATATCAAAAGATATGCAAGGAATCATGTTGTCCTCCATCGCCAAAAGTCGTCACTGACCTTCAAAAGTATATTAACCTTAATAAATATTTAGTTAGGGTAAGTATGAATTGAGTAACAATTTATGAACCTGTTATTTTATAGAAAGGATATCTCGATCATTGTCATTAACTGTAGAGCTTATTTAGACTGTAGAATCAGAGCAGTAATAAAATTTTTGATATCTTTACTTTAATGAAGTGATTTACATGATTAAGAATAGGGCAAAAGAAAATAGCTAACTTTCAAACAGAGTAATGCATTGGCTAACGATCTATAAATGGTCGAATAGACCTGCTAGCTTAAATAAAAGGCGTCAATACTACTTTATATTAAGTTGAAAGGCTTATTTGGAGACTAGAATAAGAGTTAATAGCATTACTTGCTACTTTTATTCGACTAAAGTGATTTAAGGACTGTGATGATGGTACGCATAGTCAAGTATACATTATACGAGTATACTGTAGTTCTTAGAAAGAGCAGTAGTAGTGACAAACAATTTGACTTGTTAACTTGAAAAGAAGACATCTTGAAGACCTTTTAAATTACATAACATATCTAGAAAGCAACATTTCTACCTGTACAGTAATTTATTTTTAACTTTGTTCGATCGGAGAAGCATACATGCTTTTGTGATAGAAGTTATTA